GGTGTTAGTGTCTGTTTTTAGGTAATTTTAGAGCAAGCATGCTTCTGTTTCTGGTGAAATGTAGCATTTTACACAGTGCTGGGAAGTAAATGTTTTATTTCCATTTCTGGTTGTAAAAGCTGCAGTCGTTAAATTTGTTTTTTTTCTGCTAGCACACCTGGTGAACTAAGGTTAGTGACATGGGTATTTATGTGGGCGAAAGTGTGTGTATGTGTGTCTATACTTCTGCACACGTGTACGTGCTTCCACACCACGGCTCAGTAGCTGACATGTTAGACCACAGTCTGATTGGATTCCACGCTCCAGAAACATTAAGCTCAGTGACTCAAAGAGAAAGGTTGAAGTGAGGTGTGTATGCACGTCTGTTTATATCTAGTCTCTGCGTTGCATATTTATTTTTGAATTCATATCCAACCACATATACATTTTGTTTAATTGTCCACAGGTATGCTTGCGTACGACCGTTTAGGTGTGCTACCTAGACATTGCATTCTCTAAGTCTTTTCCTGTGTGTGTGTGTGTGTGTGTGTGTGTGTGTGTGTGTGTACATACAGTATGCATAGCTGCTTGCTTCAGACAATTCCATGCTGGAAGACAGTTCAATTGTCCTTCAGATCAAGGTCAATGAGCTGAACCTTATCTTCCTGCTCTATCTATTACCTGTCTAGTGGAGGGTCTGGATATGTATGGATAGAAAGCTTTGACCTCGAGTTAAACACAATCACCTGCAGGTGGGGAAGGTTACTGTGAAGATGTAATCAGTTACAGATTACTGATTACCTATTTAAAATTGTAATTGGTAAAATAATCCATTGGATGGATGTGTTTTAATTAACAGTCAGGAGTCCACCTCTGTAACACAATCTGACTCTTCTCAACCACTTATTTATTTTTGAAAGCTTTCTTCTTGCACTTTATTTATACATTTAGTTGAATTCAGTAGGATTTCTGAGAGGTCCAGTTAGTATTCAGTGTCTCCCCTATATGCATTCAGGAGCGGTGGTGCGCCGCTGCTGAATCACGACCGCAGCTAATAAAATTTCCAACGATCATCAAACTATGCACTACAAATGTTTCCACTCGCACACTGTGCGAGCACGGCAGCACTCAGTGCTCGGCTCGCTTCCTCTCCTCATTCTATGCAGAACATACGTGACAGATGCTGTTATAAGAGCAGCGTAACTCTGAATCGGGAGGTGCGTAGCGAGTGTTTGATTGTCCGCGTGGCAGAAAGTGAGGGTAGAAGCGAGCGGAGTAAAATGCTTTGGCAGTAAATGTACACTCTTACAGTGTGTTAGCTTCTCAAGACCAAGAAAAGTCTGTTGTTTCCCACCTGCTGGAAAAGTGAAGCCAGTTAGCGCTAAGTTAGCTAACATCCCCCCTCCCCTTCAGACTGCGCAGCTGAGCAGGAAAGTTTCTACAGCAGCTACATAGCTGCTATGTAACTTAACATTAGCTCAATTTGTAGAAAGTAACTGGAAGCTGTATTTTATTACTGCCTACTTGTCCAATGTTGAGAACATCAGGTATAAACTTAGACTAAACTGTAGCCTGCAGCTCTGTCCTGTACAGACTGATCAAATTATTTTTCAGTCTGAAAAAGTGGTTTTGGAAAAGAAAGGATGGAGGTGACTGGAGGAGCTGATCTTAGTAAAGCTAATTAGTGATGCAAACTAGTCCTTTTAAGCTAATGAGGAGACGTTTCTTTTTGAATTTTAATGTGCAAATAAAATGCACCTCAGAAGGGAGGAGGTTTATGTTGCCTATTTTTTATATTAATGTCTACAGATAAATGTCAGAAGCTGTAAAATGAAGACACAAAAGGCAAACATGAACAGTCCTATCTATAATGATTCTGAGGTAATATTAACAGGGTTTTCCTGCCGTTAAGGCTTAGGGGGTGATGCGCTAAACATGCTTCGTGCCATCACTGTAAAATCACTGTGGAGCAACAGAACCAACCAAATTACTTTCTCCAGATCTAAAGGCTGTAGTTCCTCCAGTAGACTGATCTTTGGGTGTTGTTTATTTATTATCTGCTCTAGCTTTTCCAACTATTTGTTCAGAGATATGGAGAAAATAATGGCCCAATATGATGTGAAATTACATATTTTTCATTGAAAAACATAAAATTTTCTTGGGGGAGGACCCCCAACCCCCCCTGACCAACACCAACACATTCATCTAAAGCTCAAATTAAACTGGGAAAACACTGCAGTTGTAAGCTATTCTAAGGGTTTTATAAGGAAGCGGGGGGTTGTTACCTGTCAAATCTGTCCATTTATTGTTTCTGCCTTTATCTGCTATTAAATCTGCTTGTCTGCTGTTTTGTGGATGGGTCCCTTTTGGGGGAAAAGAATATTTCTACCACCCTGTGTGCTCCTCTGAGCGCCTGTCTCCTCTGCAATCTCCCCATTCTCTGTTTCTAAGCATTAGTTTTTGGCCTGTCTTAACCGAGCGACCGGCTTCTCTGACTGATTGATAAGAGTTTTCTTGGCGTAGGTCAGCTTTGACGTTGCCGGTTGAGAAGACCAAGGGATTGAAATTAACAAACAGCGGAAGTGGCCCAATGCCTGTGTGTATAGAGTTCGCCATGGAAAATTGCAAATACCAGAACATTATTTATGTTAATGTTTCAGGGCTGGTAGATGTCAAATTTAGCGTTAGCAATTAACATTAAATCATACAGCATCACTAATTTGGAAGCAGCAAGGCAAATTTCACCATTTTCAAGTCTTCTGCACAGTATTTTTAGATTGCAAAGCGTCTTATTTAAAAAGGAATCTTCTGGATTACGTAACAGGATAAGAGGAACATCCTTTATGACAAAAAAACCCCAGGAAGATTATACTTTTCTTTCAGCACAAATGGCTGTAAGACTTTCTCGTAATGGCACAGGATAGAGGAAGTGAATGGCTTTAAATAAGTGTATCTGGTTTAGGGAAATTACAGAATTGGGGTAACAGAAAGCAGCAGGGTTTATGGGAAATGCAGTGATCATATTAAGAGAAACTTCACTTCAGTAACAAAACCAGTGATCTGAGGTACAGTAGACATTAAAAACTGTCTCAACAATGGTCTCATTTGTTTAAGATGTTTTAAAGATGATTTGTAACAATAGTTTAGCAATAATTGACATTGATTTACTCATAGTGAAGGATCGGGTTTAAAGTCACTAATAACATTGATTCCTGGTTACGAGGTGTTTTTTTTTCAGTTTGCATAATGTATATTGCTGCTCCATGTTTCTGTATTCTGTTATCAGTGTGACAAAAACAAACGCTAAAATGTGTAGGGATCCAGTGATGGGGAAAAACCTAAAGAAGAAAATTAGATGCCTTCCCAAACTCTTGTAATGTGTGTTTCAATTTGTTTTCTTCCACGAGACGCAAATTCGATGAACTGGAAGCCACCTGCCCGTTTCTGTAATGGAAATAAGGCTATTGAGAGCAAACTATCTTTTTTTGCGGCTCGGTATCCCAATGGGAACCATACTAACAAGCTTCTTATACCAGCCTTGCTGTTTATAGCCAACACACCTGGCTGACCAAGCTTTCTGCTTTAATGAAAAACTCTTTAAAGCATTAAAAACAAAGGTGTTTAGTCTGAGCAAAACATAATCACCCTCTAGGATGAAGAAAAATATGTTTATAATTTTCAGAAGCAAAATGCCTCTTGCTGTGTGTAGAAGTATTAAAATAATTACTTTAATAATAACTTTTCCCAAGTATTTGTTTGCACAAGCACCTTACGTGACCCCCAAAGCACCTAAGCTTCTGCCAGGATGCTGCTGATGTTGTTTATGTGCTCATGTTAATTAAATTACTTAGATCTGAGTGGGGATGATTAGCATGCTAGCAGTAATAGCTAGCAGGGAATCCAATAGCCTATTATCATAATGAGTCCCTTTGGCGCACTGTGTGGGTAGGTGAGAGAGAGACAGAGGGAGACAGAGAGAGAGGTGGCTATGTTGGTCGCCCAGAGAGGAGCATTACATCAAAGAACAAGTGTATTGTTTTTTTTTAGCAGAATACATGATTCAAATAGATTTGTCCAACCTGGCTGGAATTAGATAATTTCACTGCTGGGATATGGCAAAGAGGAAACACAACAGACACATACATACACTTTCACAAAAGCTTAAATATTATTCATCATAGATACTGTAGCTGAAAAAATAAACACATGACCAGACAACCATACACGTAAATATACACAGTCTCCACAGGTATTTCTGTACAAACATTCCCACACACATGTAGTGGTGGAGGGGGGTTCTGCACTGTGGCAGGCACCTACAGCTGTGCTCCTACTCTGCTCATTATACACCTGTTTCCACATACTGGACTTCTGCTGCACATATGCTCTCGACCTTGTGCTTAATATAGTATGATGTCATGATTATCTAGTGTGTTTCAGTGTAATAATGGTTGCATTCATTGTTAAAGGGTTGAGCTTTTGTGGTTGCAGTTGACACCATGTTTATTTCTGTTTTATAATGCATAATATTTGCTTTTGTCCTTAAGGTGAGCTTTTTTCCTGGGTTTCAATCTTTTTTTTTATAGTTACTGCTCCTCAGCACCATGAGCAGTCACCAGTTTGATTTTATTAGAATTTCTTTCTTTTACTCTCACCAGACACTAACTTGGAAATTAACTCAGAATTTTAACACTTTTCCTTCCATCTCCAGAGAAAGGAAGATCGACATGTTTCTTCATATATCTCTACTTCCCCAAGGAGTTTGAATATATGCAGTGATAAGTTAACTGTATCTGTCCCTCTTGCTCACATTTTCTCTCATCTACTCCCACCGGTACTAATGTCTGCTTCCAAAAAGAGTTCAGTTGGAAGCATACTTAATTGAACAGCTAACTTTATTTTCTTAAATTCACTCTATTTACAAAAGATCTTCTATAATGATAATAATTAAATTTATAGTGGATTACTTCTAATTTACATTATCTGTTGGTTTTTATCCACCCTCCTCATTCATCCTATAGATGCAAAGGCCTGTCCCTCCAAAGATTTCCAGTGCCGTAATGGGAAGTGTGTGGCACCAATATTTGTGTGTGATGGCGACGATGACTGCGGGGATGCAAGTGATGAGGAAAAGTGCTCGGCTCCCACCTGTGGCCAGCACGAGTTCCGTTGCAATGACTCTGAGTGCATCCCCGCCCTGTGGAGTTGCGATGGCGATCCGGACTGCAAGGACAAGTCAGACGAGTCCATGGAGCGCTGCAGCCGGAGGACAGAGCCCCAGAAACCTCGCTGCCCAGTGGGGGAGTTCCAATGTGGGAGTGGGGAGTGTGTCCACATGAACTGGAAGTGCGATGGAGACGCAGACTGCAAGGATAAATCGGATGAAGCAAACTGTCGTAAGTCAGCTGTGTATATATTGCATTTATGTGGATGGACAGATGAGTGGGTGGATAAATGAGTGTGTAACTGAATTCTTCTAAAGACTAATGCTGCTGTTGTTTTAATTAGACCAAATTAATCTACCAACAGGATTTTTTTGTGTTGATAATGTAGATAGTTGCATTTCCCTGGTGCCATAGAAGTTGAAGTTGTTGTCCAAAGACTAGTGAAAAAAACAATATAAGACTCATACCATTGACCTAATCCTTAATTAAAATGAACCCAGCCGGTTCATTTTGAGTCTTTGGAGAGTAGCCCTGACATAGCCTCATATGGTCAGGGACACAGCTTTGCTTGTAAGTTACATTTGTAGTGTTTGTAGTGTAATGAAGGAATATGTCATCCAATTGCAATGGTATGGTTCTTTAATGTAAAGTACTTGTTAGGAGGGCAAATTCATTGTTGGTGGGTTAAAAAGTTAATATCAACCATAGCCTTTAATGAAAGTGATTTATGGATGCCAACAGTAATGCAGGTTTTTGAACAATGACTGTGTGTGTGGCTCACTATGTCGGAAGGAACATACTTTAAAGGCTGACTTGCTGTGTATCGTGATCAAAGACTACATGACAAATCTTGTTGGGCCACCAAATGATTGAAGGAAGATCAATGCTGACTTTATCATGTTGATGCACGAGTGTGTTGCCATGCAACCATGTGATCTGTCAAAGCAGAAGGAGAACCTCTGAGTGTGTTTGACCATATGTGTTTGTTGTGTGAGTCTCTGTGTGTGCATGCATGCGTGGGAGGTGAAGGTCCTTCATCAAGTGAGACCCCCATCTGGTCTCCTCTTCACACTCCCACATACCACTCAGGGAGATGACTGCAGCCTCGCACATACGATATGATATAAGCACACTGCTCTGCCATACACACACACGTTTTCACAAAACAACGGACATGTGTACATGGAGAACATAGCTGTGCTTACACATGCAGTCGCCGATATACAGATTTTCATGCAAATACAAATGCCGAAGACACTTTAAAAAGTTATTATTATGTATAGACCATTGCACACACTGTCAAATTATACTCTTTAAAACCCTCCCATCACTCCAGACACAATTTCGCAGAGCCAGCAGGTCATTATTATTTATTGACTTTGTAGGTTTGCTCTGCATGATAGGTTTTTATGTGAATATCTCATGAGAACAACACTAATTTTAACTATAGTAGACTATCCTGTTCCTCAACTCTTTATTTTTACTTCTACTTATTGTTAGATACTATTAATAGCTTTCCTGAAATAGTATGCCCTCCTAGGATTTTTGTTCTTACTTCTGCCTACGTTAAGTTATATTTCCCTTTTAGTTTAGCTGTGTTAAGCTAATGAAGTACCCTAGCTTCACTACCAAATTACATCTATTCTAAAAAGGTGCAACCAGTTTGCTAGCTAGAATGCTAAAGTAAGATATAATTAAAATATGTTTTCCAGTTCTGTGATTAATATGAAGGGTTCCATTTTGGGAATAATAATATTCACAGTATGTCTAGGTAGGTGTATGTGTGTGTATGTATCTTTGGTATTTTGGTATTGGTATTTTAGGAGGTGTTGTGTGTCTGTGATGATGCTCTATTTTTTTCTAATGGACCCAGAGTCTGACAATAAAGTTGAACTGAACTGAATCTACATAAACAAAAGCAAGCCCAGTAACATTATTGAATAGTGCTGACAGAGTGACCGCAAGTGAAGTGTTCTTTCCTGGTCTACATATGCCAGTGGAATAATCTGTCTTAATAACCGTGTTCACTATTTCACAATACGACGAGACAGGAGCTGTGTGAACTGTATATATTTGATTGGGTCTCTGTGCTTGCTCATCACACTGTGAATAAAAGTGGGCAGTTGGAGGTGTGTGTCAAACAAGATGTTATAGTTTTAGATGACTGTGTAATTCAGAGCTCAGCTTAGTGTGTGCAACATTTCAATGTAAATGAGAAATGTGAGAATCATTGCATATCTCTAGTCTATTCTCTCCTCCTCCTCTATTCCGTCAAGCTTTGCTCATTCGTACAGACCCAGTCCGCTGGTTATTATCTCCCATCTTATTCGAAACATTTGTCTCAATAATCTTGTGTTATTTTACAGACATGATGAGACAAATGACTGTAAGAACAGTGACAGGAGACATGAGAAATGGTCACATCATATCTGTAGATGGTTCTCTCCTTTCGCACCTGCCAACTTTTCTGCAGATGGCATACGTTATTATTACTATTCATCTTGGGGATTTATCATAATTAGCTGAGCTCAGATCCCAATCATTTGGCTGAAAGAATCAGCACATTTGGTGATGGCACAGGATTAAGTCTTCCACACATTGCTAATTTTAGTATAAACTTGTGTTTATCTTTTATTTTTAGTTTGAGCATTGCAAATCAGCAGCAATCCCTGTGTGTTCATGTATACACACATGCATTTCAGTTAGGTCATTTTATGTTTCATTTTATGTCACTATGTGCCTGCTCACCTATAGGACATGCATACATTTGTAAATGTGTCCTCACTTGGTGTGAAACTGTGTGTGTGGTCTCCACAGCAATTGATCATGTCTGCCACCATTCCCTTGGCAGAGCTAGTCCAAAACACAACACATGAATAATTAAACAGCCAGTTAAAAAGACGAATGAGTTAAATAAACCTGCCCTCTGCCATTACAGCAAGCCCCAACAAATACCCCTACACACTTGCACATATACACAAACTCAACCAATCACTGGATGTGGGTTTTCAGTGACTGAATACCTGCCTGGTTTTCATTTCCACCAGGGCTTTTTCTTTAAAGGTAAGAGTTGTGTGTGACTGATTACTGTTGGATTGGAATGCACTCCAGGTTGGCCTAATACAGTTGAGGAAGAGACATTATGGGCTTCATGTTGTGTATATATGTTTGTGAGTGTGTTGCATTTACCTTTACAGTGACGTAAGTAAAATTAGAATAAAAGTTTACGTGTACTCGTGTTTACGTGTACTTGTGTTATGATAAGAACCAAAATTTATCAACCAATAGATGAAATATTCACTGTAATCCAATAAAGGTTATTGTCAAGGGCAACTGGACTTGGTTGAAGATACTGGAAGACGTTTCGTCCCTCATTCAAAGGACTTCTCCTTCTACGCCACCACTTATCCCCCACTTACAATGCTATCCTTTCATCACTTCCCAGGAAACTCAACAAACGTAACCTATTGGCCTCAGGTGAAGACACCAACGATGGTCATTCAGTCTTGGCCACCGGTAGTCCCAACAACTGTAACGACTGTCGTTACAGCAACCAGGAACACAGCAGCATCGATGACCCTGGCAAACGAGGTTAACACTGAGGTTAAATAGCTGAGTTTCCATGCCAGTCAGTCAGAACTGAAGAAGTCCTTTGGATGAGGGACGAAACGTCTTCCAGTATCTTCAACCAAGTCCAGTTGCCGTTGACTTTAACTTTCGTTGGATAACTATGACCTGGATGACTGAGAATCTTCATAGACATTTCACTGTAATATTAATCTAATGTATGTGTGTGCATGGTTTGTGTCCCCCAGCCCTGCTTACATGTCGACCTGATGAGTTCCAGTGTGGTGATGGATCCTGTATCCACGGTACCAAACAGTGTAATAAAGTCCACGACTGTCCGGACTACAGTGATGAAGCTGGCTGTGTCAACGGTAAGTGTCAGACGAGTATGGCCCGTTCAACATGCAAACAGCAAGCTACACACCCGTATAGCATAATAACAATGATAATAAAAATAGCTTTATTTGAATTTGTGCACTTTTCAATGCAAGTAATAAAGTGCTTTACAGCAGTCAATATAAAACAAACAAGTCAGAATAAAATAAAAGATAAAAATAGGCATTACACAAGCTCAAATTAAAAATGTGTCTTAAGAAGTGACAGAAAACAGGGAACAGACTCTGCAAGCCTAATCTCCTCTGGCAGATTGTTCCAGTGTCTAGGGTCCTTGACAGCAAAGGTCCTGTCTCCTTTGGTTTTCACCCTAGACCTTGGAATGACTAGCAACACCCTATCAGAGGATCTCAGTCCCTAAAAATCTATCCAATTTTTATGGTAAATGCCTGCATTCACCCAGTCACAAACACACTCACACACCGATGGTTGCGAGCTACCATGCAGGGTGCTGGCCTGACTATTGGGAGCAATTAGGTGTTTCAGTGTCTTGCCCAAGGACACTTCGACATGTGGACAGGAGGAGCTGGGGATCAAATCACCAACCCTGTGATCAGTGGCCGACTCCTGAGCACAGCCGGCCCCAATTAAAACTTAAAATACTACTAACGAGATTCACAGGGGATATACTAGAGAGGGGCACAGATGGCCGCAGTTGGCTGCACTAGTTGAATCTGCCCCATGAGAAACTTAACACATAACCCTGACTTTACATACTGTGGCACACAGAAAAGCTCAAGGTCATCATCATGCTGCCTGGCAGTATCTTGAAGCCAGTGTTTTTAAGTGCAGCTGTGAACCTGAAATCGATTTTTTACTCTTCACTGTTTCCAAAAATGGCACAGTACAGTACTTGGGTGCTGTATCTTTTTGATGGGGTGCCATGGACTGTACAGCTGTGTCTGTGTGTGTTTCAATCACAAACACTGGCTGATGTGAATATTTCTGCACATAACAGTTACACTTACTGGTTAATGTTCTTAATGATCAGGTAAATAGTTTTCATCCCCTCCAAATTTGTCATAAAAAATCACAATAACCCAGCATTTACTTGGTTTCAAATTGGATTTGAATGCCGTTCTGCTGCGTGAAAGTCCTGGGTTGATTTGACCTGTCAATCCACCCCATTCATCCACTTCCAGTCCTTACGCAGACTTTCTCACTATTTATAATACATCGCCCTAATTCCTGCTTTGCTACCTTTGAACCACTAGGGGTGTCTGCTACAATAAACGAAAGTATGGGTCATCATAACGTGCTGCAAAAGACAGGTTGTTCAAGAAATACCTGCAATTATTAACAACAAATGATCGAGTTCTGAATTACTGCTGCCTTACCTTACCTTCAATTAGCGTTGCAAATTTCATGCATTTCCCTTAATCAAGCTGAATATGTTAACAATCAATACCGATTCATCATTAATAATTAATAAGATACAAAATACACATTTATTTCTCACTTCTTTTTTTAAAAAAAACTATTCTAGCAGTATATTAGTTGTGAAACATTCATTTATGAATCCCTTATCGTCCACCATGTTTATAGGCATCATGTATTTTTCCTCCATAAAGCAAAGCCTCTGAGTTTTTGCCTCTGCACCCACATCACTACAGCCTTTTCTAGCTAACACTGACACAGAGTGCAACTTTCAGCTTACACTGAAACTGTCGGGTGCTGACTTCTCAGGTGGTACAACATTGATGTTGTTTATAAAATGGTTTTGCAGTATTTACATAAGTGTTCACTCACAGGCTCTTAGGCTTCTGTGTGTTTTGCCCTCAGTACTCCACCAACTCCACCAATTAAAATCCCAGCAAAGCATTTCCATCATTACATCTTCTGTGTATCGATATTTACACAGTAGAAGGTTTTTTAAGGTTAGATTCAACTTTATTGTCGGACTATGGGTACAGAGCTAATTTAATGCAGTAATAATCTTCTGTTTATTAAGCACTGCCTGATAGCTTTTGCTATGCTGCCAACTTCCTGACTGGGTATCTGCACAAACTACAGCCAACTTTGACTATATTACTTAAAGGCGTCACATTTGCTATACCTACCAAAATCCTTATAAACACAAAAATCATTCTAGAACTTACTGTCCTAAAAATATAATGTTAGCAATTTGCATGATTTTTTGTTGGGGAATACTATTTTGGTTCAACGGTACAGGATTTATTTGACACTTACTTAAATCCCTGAACATTGTATTTTTCTATCTGCAAATATGCGTAGTTCACTAATTAAAAACATGATCTCTGACTTTGTAGTATGTTGTTTTCTTAAACACAGTTACTAAGTGTGACGGACCAAGAAAGTACCGCTGTAAGAACGGGGAGTGTATTGACAGCAGCAAGGTGTGTGACAACGTGAAAGACTGCAAGGACTGGTCTGATGAACCCACGAAGGAGTGTGGTAAGATAATTTCTCTCTGTTTCTCTTCACACCCAAAAAACGCCAATGTACCCAGATACTCTTAGTTTTTTCACTACCTCAGGCATACATGGGTGTGCATATATGTTAGTGTAATAGCACTGATGCACTCACGCATACCCAGACATCATCAACTGCTTCTAATGTGGGTGGTCACTCTTCTTAGTGAAAGAAGCTTCATTTGATCAAGGCAGGACAAATCAGGACATTTCTCAACTGCGTTGTTATGATCAAAGAGCTAAGCGACTCTGCCCTCTAGTGCGAACTTAGCCAGTAAAACGTGACCGGACTACATTACCCATAAGGAACCACACAGATTATCCTCACACCATAGATAATTACCACTTAGTGAGCTTCAGTCACGGATCTCACATCACAAGCAATGTAACCCAGCTGCAAACAGATTGCAGATTAGAAAAACATACATGTTTAAAAAATATTAAGTAAATAAAGCTAATGTAATTTAAATTCAAGTACTGCAACTTGTGTTGTATTAGTGAAATGTTACTCAAGTACATCTAGTATAAGTCTCAGAGATTGCTCAAGGAAAGTGCACTTCACTCACGCTCTTGCTCTGAAGTAGAGTAGTCTCAAGTCAGTTGCATTGGGTATAAAATGATATGTGAGTGTTCTGCCCTTTCAGCTAGCTCTGATCTTAAGGCAGATGGATATACACTGTAATGAGATTGCCCTGTAACCATATCATTAATGTTAAACATGATGTTCAGTGTGTCACAAGGCAAACCTGCATGTCCTCTTTGATTTAGCTATAACTGACAACTTCGGCTATCTGCAGCACGGAGAATATGTGTTAAAATGGTTAAAAATAAAGTTAATGTAAATAACATTTAGTGTTATTAACCAAAACACATTGTGTGTGTGCTTGATGTCTAGCAAATGCTTTGAATGCATTTCATAACTCATAAAATAAAAAAGCCAATGTTTTTGTTTTTTAAATTGTGCATTTTTTACTTCCATGGTTGCTTGCTAAGACTCTTTTTCTTCCCTACCTTGCCTTTGTTGGAGAACTACTACGTTTCTTGGCACATTATCACTGCTAACTGTCTGTCAGTGAAACAGTGTGAAACCAAAGGCAGGATATGAAACCCCACTCATAACAAACACTCAGAGTTCCTTTAAAGGCAAGTTACACTATATGGCCAAAAGTCTGTGAATATCTGATGTTGGGAGAAAGGCACGTAGATAAGTGTTGGATGGAGTTGAGGCCAGGGCTCTGTGCAGGCCTGAGTTTTTCACATCAATCTCTAAATACCATCTCTCTATGGACTTTGCTTTGTGCACTAGGGTATTGTCATGTAAAAAAACGACAAGAACTCTTTGTTGCCACAAAGTTTGAATGTTGTCATTGTCAGATTATTTTTTATGCTGTAGCACCAAGATTTTCCTTAAAGAAAATCAAAATTATCATCACTCACCCTGTGAAAATAGTATTTACAAGGTCTGATAACGTCTGGGGTTTTTTTGGGGGGGGGGGGGGGGGGGGGGGGGGCTTACCCATGCCAGGGACTTAAAGGTAGGATATCTCTCCCACAGCTGCATCCATTTTGACATTTGTTAGGAGTCCCGAACCAATGGAAATGCAATACTAAATGTTGGAATACCTCTTCATTGAAATAAGGGCTTAGATATAAAAATGTCGACAGGAGTACCCACATACTTTTGGCCTAAAGTGTATTCTATAGCTGTCATGCTAAATAAAAGTTCAGTTGAAATAGGTTTACATGTTTTCAATTTCTTCTGCTTGCTTTATTGATACTGAGTTGATTTGTTGTTATATGATATAATGCACTCACTATAGTGTAAATTACCTTTCTAAAATCTTTATTTTAGTTAAATGTCTTCTAAATTTCTCGAAGGCTTTACTTCCCTCTATCTCTCTCTGTAAGTTTATCTCCATTTCAGTTATGGATGTTTCTCTATCTCTCTTTTTTCTTTCTTTCTCTCTGTCTCTTCCACAGTCTCACTGTCTCACAGCAGGACCTGTAGCCTTGAAGCTTAAATCTTTAATGTAAACCGGTAATGAAGTACCAGCTTTAGCTCTATGAAGCGACCTCTCTCTGCTCCATGGAGGGTAGTTGAAAGACAAAGGAATAAATCGAGGCACAGAGACATATACAAAAAGGAAGGGACATAGAGGAAGCATGACTCAAAGTGAGTCCAATCTGTTCTGCCAAAAAAACAAAAACAAGGAGGAAATGTAGAGAATGACATGAGAGGATGAACGACAGCATATGTCTCTGTATGGTAGTGGAGTGCCACCTGGAAAAGGCCAAGCCCCCTGTTGTTGAGAGTGGATTTGTTCCTGGTGCGAATGGCTTAGACTGTGCGAGTGGACCATTAACATATTACAAGAAGATCCATAAATACCCACATACACACACACACACACACACACACACACACGCATGCCCCTGTCTCTCTTTTTCTACTGCTTTTAAGCTCAATGTCTTTTTTTTTAAATAGAAATATGACATGTACACAGACACATTAGACAGGACATAATTATCTTAACTGGCAGGATGTTTAAAGCTATGCACACACAAAAACCTTGGTTTTATCTTTCTGTCCAACTATTTTCTTTGTGTCTTATCCATGTTCAATTGTTCTATGTAATATCTTGCTTCTATTTCATCAATATTCAACTCCTCTTTACTTCCCTCCCCTCTTGTGCTTGTCCTGTCTTCCGTCCTTGCTCCTACTGCCCTTATCTCTGCAGGCCTGAACGAGTGTGCAGACAACAATGGTGGCTGCTCCCACATCTGCAGGGACCGGAGAATTGGTTATGAGTGTGACTGTCCTTCTGGGTACAAACTCCTGGACAAAAAGACTTGTGGAGGTAAGGAGAAAAAAAAGTTATGCGGCATAAGTACTGCCTTTATGCAGAAGAATCACATCTTGTTTGGGCCTGGCCAGGTTGGGCTGCTATGTTGTTACTTTACTTATTTTTTGCCCTCTTCTGCTCTCTTTCCAAAGACGGCTTCTTTCAGCCACTCCAAGGTAGACATATTAACATGTTGCATATTCTTTATTTAATACACATCTGGGTGTAATTGTGATTGTAGTTTGGTTGCTAGTTCCAGATTCTTGGGTGGATCTACAAATGAAAGAAAAGACCTTAGTTTCTTATGCCTGATTTAACAACACACAGCCATCCATAATGGTATGGTTTTATTCATCACCACGTTCATCTTATTTTATTGAATCAGGATTTCTTCAGTTTGGCTTTACCAATGCTCTCTAATAATTTATGGGCATCTTACAAGAAACTCTAGTTGAATACCCCAGAATTGTTTTGCATTTCGTCTCCTAAACAAGTTGAATTAACAAGAAAGAAAAAAAACGACAGCTTTAAAGTTGCTTGAAAGTGATTTGTTTTACTTTGGACAGATCCAGGGAAGCAGTTTCCCATCCGTCACGTCTTGCTGCTAAGCTTGACTAAACACATCCCAAATCCCGATCTCAGTGAGATCAAATTGGTATTGATCTTCAAGTGAGTCTGTGGGTTTGCTGGCAAACAAGCATTTCCCAAAATGTTGGACTTTTTCTGTATCGTTTTATTTGGTTTAAGGTGTTTACTACCTGTGAGTCCTTCTGGTGTCCTTAACAAACTAGCAAGTACAATATATTTGTGCAGTGGAAAATGTAATTCTGTGGACAGAATATTTATTCATATAAAGAAGAGTCCAGTCCATCAATAAAAAAATTTAAATAGTATAATATAGAGTAGTTTGTTTATTTTTTTATTTGGTTAAAAAAATCACTTCTAATACACTTAAAAGCATCGATAGTCTCAACACTGAGTTATGCAAATGTGATTTTACTGTTTTTCTCTTACTTAACAAGCATTCACATTTCTCAAACCAAGATCTAATCCTGTCGGTTGACGCTTCCTGCAGGTAGATATCAGTCATAGAAACTCAATTTGAAGAATCAGTCTCCATTTGAAGTGAACGGGAAAGAGTGTTAACATGATAGATACTGAGCATGTACTTCTGTTATATCTCACTAACTCTTCAGATAAAAATATGTTAGTGTGTGTCTCTGCAGTTTCATTTTGATCTGTATGTCTTTGTGCCACGTTTGTCTCAACAGACATAGATGAATGTGAGAACCCAGATGCCTGTAGTCAGATCTGCATCAACTACAAAGGAGATTACAAGTGTGAATGCTATGAAGGCTACGAGATGGACCCTGCCTCTAAGACCTGCAAGGCCGTGGGTGAGCCATTTATCACACACACTATCAAACCCTTTCACAGGAAAAGACACACAATTCGATTCGATTCAAAGGGCTTTATTGGCACAAAAGTTTTAAGAACAGTGTGGCTAAACAGCACCCATCTATGAGACACGCTGTCATAGATGATGTAGATAGATGGATGTTCTCACCACAGTATCAGTCATAGGCACACATGTTCCTCAAAAGGAATCACACATTGAGACCAACTCTTATATACACACACCAATTACTCTCCCTTTCCAGCACCCCTAGCTACCAAGTGACATCCCACACTATTCTCACACTGTGGGACTCTGTGAAACGAGAGGCTTGCTTTGTATGCAGGCCTTGCACAGCAATCTGTGCAAAGATAAATATTTGCCACCTTTTTCTGCAGTCCTCACTAATGAAAAGTTTGCAGCCAGCTGCCTCTGCTCTCTGTGGAGTTTCAGGGGAAGGATGTTGCATGAGGAGGGGGCATGCCCACTGACTATAGGACACAGGCAGCCCCTCGCTGGCCTGGGTAAACACTCCAAGCAGTGGTATATGAATGAAAATAAAATCTTGTCCTCAAAGCTGGACCAGGCAAGGTTGTTATTGAAAAGTGGTCTGCCTACTGTAGCTTGTTAGCTGCACCGTAAGACTGCCTTTTGAAAAGCTCCATGTGAATTCTGGGTGTTTTTATGAGTCCCCCCATTCTCAATCCATTATATCTGGCATTGCTGATAACGACGCTGTCTGTCAACAACCATTTAAACACCTTCAGATAACGTTTCCTTCTACCACTGACAAATTAGGGCTTCTGATGTGTAGTGATGTTGTGATAAAAGTCGATATAGATTTGACATCTAATAGCGCTGAAAACAGAATTTTAACGCTGTTGGTACTGCAGAACAGTACATATTTTTCATTTAAAAGAATAGAGAGGTGCTTGCAGACCTAGAATTAGAAACTAATCAGTGTATTATAAGTGGTTTCTCTACATTAGTCCTACAGGAAACATAACCTCTTACTCTTGCAATGTTAATGCCTTTCAACTGCCCCTTGAATGGAGAATGGAACCTTTAACTGATAGAGTTACACAGCAAATTAACTTTTTTTGTGGGAAAAGCGAGAGAAAAGAGTGTTATTAGTGATTACCGCCATCGGTCTTAGTTGAGTCATTATAGGGTGAACTGGTCTGGTAATGAGAGAGCTTAAAGCAGAACACAGGCCCTCACTCTTAAGCTAAGTGGCATAAAAACCACCATTGATTGCTTCATGTCTCCCTGTGTGAATCTTTATTACTGTTAGGCAGAGAAAACAATCCTTGTCAGAGGCCAAGGCATTTAGTGAAGTGGGGAGGATAGGCAAGCAGAGGCGAAACAGATACATCGATGGATGGATGCATTGTATGAATATTTCTATTCTCATTGAAGTAAAGCAGAGATGAATCTGCACTGTGGATTGTGCCACATTATGACTTGTTAAGGGAGACAGAAAGCAGAGGAGACTGAAAATGTGACAGGATTGTTGTTTATGTTGAGGTTTATTTATTCAAAGGCACAAATAAAGATCGGACCATAAATTTAGAGATGTCTGCTTTGTGAAGCTGACTGAATGTGGACTTAATGAAGCTGCATTCGTCTGTGAACCCATTTCTAGACACACAAAACATACACCCAATCACAAACATACATGGCCACAGACATCAGCATACATATACACTTTGGATTCTGGCCACACAAATACACATGTAGTTGTTTTAAGGAGTCACATCAATGTTCGTACACAGATACAATTCTCCAGTGACTGACTGGCCTGGAGGAACGTCACGTTCTGTGATGAGATGTGACACTTGCCAAATGCCAATATCATTTGCACATATTGAAGTTCAGGCTGAAAAATGCCAGGCTGTTATTTGTACTTCTATCTCGGAGGCACACAGCAAAACACAATGTCATCCTAAAGTCACACACAATGCCATATATAGCTTTGTTTTTCTGCGTTTTCTACTTGTGTTTGTTAGTAGTTAGTGCAGTTTATAATTGTGAGAAGAGTTACAGTTGAGCGATAACCTCTGGTCTTTGCGTTTTCCATTGTACAAAGAGTGCATTTCATTCTAATCCTGCACATGGTTGCAGATTAATTTCAGAGTAATATGAAACACTAGCAATGCTTATTAAAAGTAAATTCCCAGGTTGGAGTCATAATGCGTTCCCTCTCATAAGCTGGTATTAGTGTATGCGTATGTGTGTGCATGTTTGTACAACATCCATTAAGTCCCCTGAAGAAAGCCTTGCTGTACACTAATTACATTTATTGTTTTTGTGTTTACACCTTTATGGGTGTGATGCCACTCACTGAGTCGTCAACTTGAGTTATTATTGTTGTGTGTAAGAGAGAGAGAGGGAGAGAGAGGAGTGTGGAAGTTTACTTTATCTATGTGGAAAGGGGGGTATGACAATAAACTCTAATCCACACAGACAGCAGTTTCGGATGCATTTCTTGGCCAATTTAGTCGTCTGTCATATATAAATCAGAGCTGATACAAAATTGTGTCGATGGGGCAAAGACCAAGAGAGGAAGAGAAGAATGGAAATATGAACGCATAGATAAAGTAAAGTAACACCCGTATCCCATTTCTCAAAGTAGAACGATGATGTGCTTCTGTGGTGTTATTCCACATTATCATCAATATTATATGTTTAAACTGATCAGTCAGCACATTTTCCATTTCTAGACAAAAATATTATGCCAAATTTTAAATTTTTTAATTATTAGAAAAGATGCTAAGTAAAATAAAAGAATATATTGCTGCAACTAGAGCTAATTGATAATAGCATTTCTATTTTTGTTCATAATGCAGAGCATATGGACAAAAGCAACTAATGTTAATAATGTTATTTTGGATTAAAAAATATTCAGGGCTGCTAATCAACCAAGTAATAATTGCGCTGCAGATTTGAAGTATCACTCAAAGCACTCACTGGCTCTGAAGACTAGCTATCATTAGCACCAACTACATAAAAATGTAAACACAAAGCATCAGTGGAAATGCTCTTTAATGAGTAGATATCTAAGCCCTTTAAGGTAGTCAAATAAATGTTTATGAAATTTACTGACAGGTGGGAGGATAAGGACGAGAAAGATGTGACAGCACGGAATACATTACAGGTGCACACACAAACTGGTTGATAAAACCAGGACACGCTGTCACAACGATGCAGAGGAAATTTACAAACTGCCTGTGGACTAAAGTCTTGCTTTTTTTTGCTCATGTTGCCTTTTCTTGTTCCTTGTTCTCTCTCTCATCTACAGTATACTGCACGCTTAACCACAGTGCTAAGAGCAGTTTTTGCCACATTTGACAGTTTGAGAACACAGTTTTCAAAATGGGTTTAAAACAGTGGTCAGATTTTTCCTATTGTCAAAAGATTTAGCCATGGGACCCACAATGTTGTGGAGCACTGTTAAACCTCATCTCAGAAGTTCTTCCTGCTTTTCCCTAGGCTTTTCATGAACGGGCGTATAACATTTTATTCTGTGTGCTTGTAGGAGTATTGGTAATATTAATCCAGAAAATGAATATAGTAGTTCTGACTTTTATTCTTCCAATGACCTACCAAGCTTTATCATCATGACAGCTTTAAAGTGGTGGTGCACAAAAATATAGAAATGTGGGCACTTTAATTAAAAAAAGAAAATGCAACAATTTCTCATGGCGACTCTGGCCTTCCACCACAGAAATAATGAAGCGTTATAGAATTTGTTTTGTCATGAGGAATGCTAGCAAGAAGGATGACTTTTTGACATTTGACAGAAGTTGTTGACAGAAGGTCCATTTCTGTTCCCTGCTGCAGCATCTATTCATTATTATATAACATGGTCTGTATGTCTTAATGCGCATTGCTGACCAATACATTTGTGTCTACTCCCAGACATAACATCATCCTAATAACCTCATCCAGTGTGGGCCCATTCACACTGGCTGTAAGTAAACATCCCCATCATCCTGCAGAAATTCAAACCTTGATGTCTGACCTTTCCATCTGTCCGATTTTCCCTTTTACTTTGCATATCTCCACGACATAAACATCTGCTTGGCGTGAATCAAATCAATGCTCCTGCAGTGCCTGACGGCATTTCCCTAGCCCATATTTATCTTTTCACTGCATTATCTTAATTGACTAACGGGGCATAACCGCCCTGAACTGGCAGTACATATTAATACATATCTAGGGGACCCTGTTCCTGTTAAGAAAGCTGACTGTTGCGATCTATTGAGGAGCGATAATATTGCACTTTTCGATGACATCTCTAGTGCCGTGGCCTGAAGAAAACAGTGACTCAGCTTTTTTTGCCTTGAGGAAAACATTTTGCTGCGACGACAGTGATGAGTCTTAAGAGCTGTTGTCTGGAAAAAGTTAGTCAGGGGGATTGATGAAAAAGAAGTTAGATCTGTCTCTGTCCTTACAGTATTATACATACTTCAATTTGTTTGTGGTCTCTTTTCTCATCCTGTCTTGTTTGTCTTGCTCTTTTCTCTTTCTTTCTTTCTTCCCACCAGACTTTTTTTCAAGTCAAATGCCCGCTGGGCTGGCGAACCTTTGGGGCTGGTGTAATGTAAATTATTTATTTATTTAACTGTTTTTAAAAATGTGTCAACCGTTGGGGGCAGCACGGTGGTTGAGTGGATAGCGCTGTGGCCTCACAGGGGGTTCAAACCCCGGTTGCCCCGGCCTTTCTGTGTGGAGTTTGCATGTTCTCCCCGTGTCTGCAGGGGTTCTCTCCGGGTGCTCCAGCTTCCTCCCACTGTCCAAAGACATGCAGCCTTGGTTGATTGGTGACCCTGAATTGTCCTTAGGTGTGAGCGTTGCGTTGTGGGCAAAAAACAAACAAAAATGCGTGAAAATAACCATATGTTTGCTACCGGGGCTGCAGTAGTTTCAACATCAGCTGCAGTACCCTGCGTAGTGCAAGCACAGGCACTTGAAGGAGTAAAGGAGAGCCGTGGCCCCTGCCAGGCAGAGGAGGCAGAGGAGGCAGCATGAGACAGCGAAGTAGAGTGAGAAAGTGAGGAGAGTAGAGGTGAAGCGGTCAGCATGGAGTAGCTCAACCTGTAGGGAGGAAGCAGGTAGGGTCATTTACAATGGGGACATGTACCCACAACTTTTTGAAAGCATTTGTTAAAAATGTTCTGAAAAATAGCTTGCAAGAAATGTTAATTAACAAATAAAAATGCTATGAGAAAGGTTTAGTAGCACAATAAGCCCTCAATGCAATATAAATAAAGAAGAAACATCTGCATTGTCCAAAAAAAGTAACTTTACCTAAGAAAAATAATAAGCTACTGATTAATGCATTATATTCTATTCTATTTTTATATTGTAAATTGTCACCTGCCACCTTAATTTTGTGCTTCCCTGTATAAAAATAAAGACATTTCCACCATAAATTGGTGCAGAAAATGTCTCCAGAATGCAAGAAATTAAGTGTTTAATGCTCAGAATCATCTGGGTAATGACCCCAAACCCTCCTATTGAATATTTCAGCAAAAATAGTATTCCTAAATAGTAGGCCTATTAAAAATATATTCTTGTCTTGTTGTCATGTCGCCAATCTTGAGCAATGCCACATCTCATGGGCTAAGTTTTTTGGCCGCCTGGGCCAAAAATGCCAGGGCAGATTTTTTTGTCCCAGTCCAGCCCTGTTGTCACCTGATCGTTTGATGTCTTTTCTGTCTTGCTTTCTCCCCTAATCCTCTTAACTCTTAATTTTTCCATGACTCTGCCTGCATCCATCACATTTCTCTCTCTCTCTCTCTCTCTCTCTCTCTCGCTCTCTCTCTCTCTCTCAGCAGGTGAAATTGATGGTTACAACCCTCGATCAGTCAGAGGAAAATGATTGAATCCAAACAGTAGTCAAAATGTAATATTTTCTCCCTGTGCAGTAGCCCATATTAAAGTGGGGCTAAGGAAATATTTTGAGGGATGGTTGGCTCTGTGTGAAAGTATGAGTTTGTGTGTGTGTGTGTGTGTTTGTGTGTGTATGTATGTCAATGTTTCCAACTTTGACTTTTTACCTGACATTTCTGCTTTACTGGAGAGTGTGGAGTGGAGAGTAACATGACAGAAAGAGGAGTGAAGTGAGGATCAAAGAAAGGCGCTAGAAAATGAGATGGTGGGTATTTGTGCGACAGAGAGCAGAAGATAGGGAGAGAGAGAGGGAAACAGGCAGACAGACTGGGAATTCAGGGCAAAACAGTAATGTTGAGCCAAAATAAAGAGAAATTATTGCGGTGCAGTTTGATGAATGATATAGATGGGAATTGGTTGCTTGATGGTTATTCAAATGCTTGACTCATGTTCACCTTCATTTTCACCTTCAGCCTGCTGACAAATGTGCCCCAGGTAACTGATGTGCCAGCGAACGGCACATATTCTACGTACGTGAGGAAGAGAACCCAGAAACACACTTTTTACATGCTGATTCACTAAAAATAGAACAGTGTTTCATGTCTAGTTGTTGGGCTACTTTATCCACCTGCACATTGTGCTTCATTACTCCATACAGCAGCAGGACACACACTCACATACAAGCATTCAAACACAATGCTCTTTAAATGGATGTGTCCTGTCTTTGCTTTCAGTTTGGGCTTACTTTTCTGCAGCGAATAATTGTGTGAATTATTAAGTGAACAGCATTATTTTGTGCTGAAAGGCTGTGTGTGTGTGTGTGTGTGTGTGTGTGTGTGTGTGTGTGTGTGTGTGTGTGTGTGTGTGTACTGATATTTTCCTTTTAAATGGTTTATTTGGATGATTTATTTATGCACACATCATCAAAAATGCATGCTAAGCAGTACAAATGCTAAAGAAGACCTCTTACATTATGTTCCCTCTTGGGAATAAGAACTCAACACCACCCATGGTATCTTTGTAGACAACAGTATGTGTTGATTTTTAACTCTACTGCTGAAGTACATGTCATAGGGGAAAAAGGACTGGAGCTAACTGATTGATTTGCAGCCTTTAATAGTGCCAACAGACCAACGTTTTTGCTCTATTGTCATCATCACAGTCAAAGTGGACAAAGGCACAAGGCGAATGCATATATAGCCAAACTAAAATAGGGGTTTAATTGTCAGTGGATAGTAGGTTGAACAGGATTTCAAATGTATTATGATAAAGGATAATGGATCCAAGGGTGGGGTTCTCAGTTTTCAAGTGACATGTCAGCAGCAGTGTTTAACAGTAAGATAGTTTTTTATGTTAAATATTATTAAAATATTGCAGGACAAACATATTTTTTATGTCAGGTGAACAACGTTGTTAAATTTCAGGTTTTGTTGACAAACAAACTGTACTGTCCAAGTCAATGTGACCTTGTCTGTCACAAGCTCAGGAACAGTGTGGATTGTACATTAGCAAAGATGCACATACGCAGGTTCACCTTTCAAAAACAGGTTAGGGGTTGTGTGCTACAATTCATGTATTAATGTCAAGGTCAACAAATGTTTCCTTGTCACATCTACATTAACACACTTATGACTGACAGTAGTGCAAATTACCAATGTCTAACAGAGTGTGGGTTGAGGATGATATATGTACTCTTTGGGGTTACAATCGTAGGTTAATGGCTGTCAATGGACACCTACCCCCTGATATTTATGGCCTATCTGTCTAATTTTGCCAATGTCAACTAGTAAATAAACGGCAGAAAATTTATTAGAGAGATTTGCTCATACTTGATCAAGACATAAATGTCTTTGCTGCTCTTTCAGGAAAGAGTCCATACCTGATGTTCACCAACCGTCATGAGATCCGTCGCATTGACCTACTGAAGAGTGAATACACGCAGGTGGTTCCCACGCTGAAGAACGCAGTGGCCCTGGATGTAGACGTGTCCACCAACAAGATGTTCTGGTGTGATCTATATCATCGTAAAATATACAGGTATACACACACAATGTACAGTACAAATGATTTGTGTATTTTTCTGTACGGAATCAGGACTCCAGAAGTTTGGATCACATTCTGTCCTCGTTCTTAAGCCATTCTGTCACTATGTTCTCTCCTCTATCCATCCATCTTGTCTGCTTCAACCTGTTAAACCTTCTGGTAGCGAGACAGACGCACCTGGGGGTTGTGTGTGTGTGCGTGTGTGTGTGTGTGCGTGTGTGTGTGTCAGTCACACCTGGAGGGCTGTGTGTGTGAGTATCTGTCTGACAGTAAAAGGTGGAGCTGTTTGTCCTTCACACACATTACACATAATGTAGGTATATCATTTCTTTGTTCGTGTGTGTGTGTGTGTGTGTGTGTGTGTGTGTGTATGTGCACTCGCATGTGTGTGCCTCACCCTGGTGGCTAGCAGGTAGTAGGGGGGACCTTCTATCATCTCAGCTGAGCCATATGCTCTCTCTAATTTCATTGCCTCAGTAATCACAACCATTACTCATCTGCATACACTCACACGCACATACACATATTTCCACACAAACTCAGTGATACACTCAAGGGCTTGTGACAGAGAAACGACAAATGAACTCATTCGTCATGATGAACTCTACTTTGGAAGCAGAAATAAACACATAACTAGCCAGCAACAAGTTAATGTGTACAGTTAAATCTACTTAGAGTCTTTTTGGTTGTGTTAAATATATGTTGTTATACACCCAAAAGCATAAAGTCTACCTTCAGCTCAGTGCATTTATGCTGCTGATTTTGTGTTGCATGATATAATTTTGAAGGACTTTCATACAATCCAATTCACTCATAGTATGCAAGTACCTTTTGAAACATAGGCTTTTTTTGATATTGTGCATTTTGTGTCATATATTTAGCATAGTTTTAAAATCCCCAAGCCTTCTTAAAGAGGTAGTATTATGCTTTTTGGCTTTTTCCCTCTCCTTTATTGAGTTATATATATCATTTTTGTGCATGTAACAGGTTTGCAAAGTGAAAAAGCCCAAAGTCCACCCCAAAGGGAGTTCCCATCTCCCACAGAAAACTCTGCTCTGATCTGCCTGAAAACAGCTCATTTGTAGTCCAGCCTGTACTTCCGCTTTCTTGTGATGTCACAAGAAAATCCATGTCATAACTCTCGCCGAGCAACTAGTCTGACACGCCCTCAAAAACACCGGTGGAAAAACATTGTGCTGCAGCACACCTTTCCTCTCCCTTCCAAACACTAGCTACCCTCCAGGCAGTCAATGTTGTTAGTGTGATGTAGAGACAGAGCTCTGTTAAAACTTGGATGAAAGACACTTTTGTTACAGATTAATAACTCACCACTCTGAAACTCTTGCTCCTGTCCATATTGCTAAGCTGGTCCGCAACATTTAGCCTACAACTGAATCGAAGCTGTTTACCATCTTTTCGCTCACCCGCCTTTCTCTGCTTCTGATTGGCTATTACCGGCCTTTCGCTAACCTGCCCTTCTCTGCTTCTGATTGGCTAGTAGTCCTTAACGAGGAACTGCACATGTGCAACTCCCAACAAAGATCATTTAGAGACTAGATCCATCACTCCATAGCTAAAAGGAAGCCTTCAACATATAGGGTGAAAAGAGGAGCTGCAGCAATGTGCAGTATGACAAAAAATATGGCGTTTTTTGAAAATTAAACCATGTAAACCTGTTCTGGTACAACCTCTTAATAGGATTTTGAGCCTGAAAATGAGCATAATACCACCTCTTTAAAAGTCACAATTATTAAATATGCATTTACATAGTTCCTGCCTATTCTTTCATTCATCTTGATGCTTACAGATCTCTAAATTGCCACCCAAATTTCTCATTTGATTGGCGATTAATGGCTATTGATTGGTTTAGGCAATCAGTAGTATCATTAACGAGAATGAACACAATGTCTGAATGAAGTGAAACTCAATAGCAATTTGTTCCAATTATCAGCCTACCATTTACCTGCTTTTCAAACTCCCATTTTACCTCCACTTTAGTGCTTATGGTCTCTATGATGACTGAGAAAAGTTGTCGTCTCGTTCTTTCCAGCATTTTATGATCAGTCATTGAACCTCTTTATTACTTGGCTCACATATAATGTTTCAGGAATGCTTTCTTGTTCCACTCTTTCCAGTTGTTTAAAAAGCTGCATACCTTGAATCTTTTACCCAAGCATCTTACTTTCCGATGCAGTACTTTTTCCTCAGATAAGGACCATGATATCAAATGGAAATGTGTATTTCAAAGTGATTCCTCTTTATTGTCCCTCACCGTGACGGTGTGGTTTTCCATGCTAATTCAATGTGATTAGCAAGCTACGGGTCGATGCGTCGTTAACTTTTCCCTGTGATGGAGATGCCTGTTTCAAGCAGTAATATAGCCAATTAAAGATGCAATCAGCTCAGTGGTCTTGGACTCATGTGTCTCTGTCTTATTTCTTACTCCAGTCTGCCCTCTATTCATCCCTTCAACCTGTTCATCACAGTCTAACTGAATATTCGTAACTAAGCTAGCTTTCACACCCTAGATGAAGATTTCTGCAGTGGCAAACAGGAACACAGCCAATTAATAACCCAATCTGCTTCCGAGTCCCTTGTCCAAGTCTACCTAATCCCTCACTCCAACCACCTCACCAGCCTTCACCTTTAGTTAAGCAGTTCCTCCTTCTGTACTTCTCGTCTTCATTCTTGTACGTTTTGCTAACATGGGATGACAGGGTGTAAATTGGGACATTGTGTTTCCCAACCTTTTAACAAGGTTGTCTTGTATTGCCTAGTTTTATAGCCCTTGTGTAGTGGGCTATGTCTGAAGATGTTGAGGAAAGAAGGGAAAAGAGAAAAGCAGAAATGGGGGACTTAATACAGCAAACGGGGAGCAAGAGGAAGTGGAGAGAGATTGAGAAGACTAGAGTCACAGAGGGAGAGAGTGACACAAATAGAGGTAGGGACAGGTTGATAGATAAAGAATCTTTCTCCCTGGGAGGAGCTGTTTGGTGAGAGGCCTAAGGTTGTTATAGAGTCAGGCTTGGGTGCCCCTGACATGGTATCATCAAGAATACTTGCTCCCCACCATGTGCAAATAGGTATCTAAGGCAAAGCACAGCTTTTGTGATGGATTTTGTTATGGTTCCTAAATTATTTCGTACTTTCCACAACACTGACTGACACAGCTCTCCTCTGCCACCCACCAGTGCTTACATCAACAAGGCCAGTGACTCGTTGCAGCAGGTCACTCTCATCGACTCGCTCAACTCTCCTGAGGGCCTGGCTGTCGACTGGGTGCACAAAAACATCTATTGGACTGACTCGGGCAACAAGAGCATCTCAGTCGCCACAGGAGATGGCAGGAAGAGAAAAGTGCTGATAGCCACTGAGCTGAGCGAGCCACGGGCCATCGCAGTGGATCCACACCAAGGGTAAGTGGGAGAAGTTTGAGGGTGGAGGGAGTTTTGGACAGATGGACAAAGTGTGAAAAGATGGCATGGGAGTTGAGCCAAAGGCTAGGGAAGGACAGAGGCTGGAGGAGCAGGAAGGAGGGAGTGGGAGTGGGACGGACAAGCCTGTAGGCATTATTGTCAATCTCTGAATAGGGGAACAGCCAGTGTTAATACCTGTATCTAAAAGTAGGGTTAAAAACATTTGCACTACACCATATCAACACTATTTGTAGTGCTGCACAGCTTAACAATTATTTGGAGATACGACGTGACTCTCGTCTGCTCGATCTGCCTCTTTCTCTTTCTCTTTGTCCTGGATGTCTTGAGTTCCCCAAAAGACTCTTTTCACCACTCTACAAAGCATGAAATACATGCAAATGAAGCCAAGCTTTCATGGACACACATATTTAAAAGTGGTCCAAGTTTCCAGCACCTGCTGTTCCACTATCTTTTTCTTTCGTGCCTCCGATGCCTGTTTCAAGAGTAAAAATTTTTGATTTTGGAAAGAAATAAGAAGGAGACAGAGTCAGACAGGGACATTGTGTGATAACAGTAGATTCAGTCACATATTAGTTGTCTACTTTAAAATTACTATGAGATTGCACATGGACCTACTCACTGCTCCTGTTGTATCTTTCCACAGGTTTATGTACTGGTCAGACTGGGGAGGTCAGGCCAAAATTGAGAAGTCTGGGTTGAATGGAGTGGACCGTCAAGTTCTGGTGTCCGAACACATCGAGTGGCCTAATGGAATCACCCTGGGTAAGGAAAGACAGAAAACATGTATCTTTGAAGATGCAAGGTTCACTGTAGAGGAGGAAAATCAATCACCTCTGAAAGTATTTGTTTTATAAACAAAGTTATAATGCTGATATTGTTTTTGCAGACAAAAAAAATGTAAATTCAACACAAAGAAGGAGACAATACCAAAGACGGAGAGAGAGACAGAAACAAAGAGACAAACAGCAAGCGCTGAGAGATGAAAACAGTCTGGGTGTGCTGCAAACCCCTGAGTAGCTCTTATTGTTATAGCTCAGTTTCTGTCTGGCTCTCATCAATCAAGCCAGTGAACACAGGCCTCCGAATTAATAAGCCAGACGCTTGGTGCCGTCGATACCTCTCGTCATCCTTTTCAACTCCCTCCACGGCAATAGCCAATTTCTCTCAGCTGCCCTTGCCGGAGGTAAAAGAGAGGCATACAGTTGCCACAGTCTGTGGAATTGAGGTGTCACTACATCTGTATGAAAACAAATTATTTTTTAGAGTAAGGCGAATTGAGAGAGTTGGCCAGACTTGCACTATACTGCTTTGGGAGAAGGGGTGGATTATTTCACCCTGGTCACTGATTTCATACAGAACAGCAAACAGAGCAGTTGATTGTGTGAGTCAGGAGAGGTGAAGTTGTGAATGAAAATAAATCTGTTTTTTGGCACGAGGATGTTGAATGAGTTTCTTTTTTAAGTTTACTCAGCTGACTTGACATTTTTGGGACTTCCTTATCATATTAAAGGAAATCACTGTATTGTTACTGCCATTATTGTGCCACTGTGGAATGTTACCTGAGTCATACCAAAAATAAATAAATAATAATAATAAATTACTAAAACTAATGATAATTTTATTTTTTAGGTTTTTGTTGGTCAAGAATATCTCACTTCATATAATTTGATTTACTATATATAAAGCTGTTATATGTAAAGCAGTCATGCATGGATTATGTCCCTTGCTGCCAAATTTGATGGAATCTAAAAATTTTAAAGTCAACCACAGCATTTCTTTTGGCCTATAACAAGAGCACAAAAATTGAGTACTACTCAAACTAATCAATTTGCTCAAGGGCACATACATTTTCCCAGCAAAGAAGTCAACCGGCAATATTACAATAACATCTGTGTTTTCTCAGCGAAGGGCTTTAGCCGTCATGTCAAAGAAGATTGATCGTGTAACTACTGGGCCATTACATTCATATACCTCTCACCCTAGGTCTTTTCTCTTGGAATGACCTCTCTCTCCATTCGTCTTCCTCTACCTCCCTTTTCCTCCATCTTCTCAGACTTGTCTAACAGGCGTCTCTACTGGGTGGACTCCAAGCTACACCTGCTGTCCAGTGTGGATCTGAATGGAGACAATCGCAAAGTGCTGCTGTCCTCCCATCACCACCTCGGACACCCCTTCGCCCTCACTGTGTTTGAGGTACAGAAGAACAGCCACAGAATGAGTCCAACCAATGGTATTGGAGAGCTTTAAATCTCTCAGTATGCTTGGTTTGTACAAGAATTAAACCTTACTACACTATGCTTTTATGTTCATGCAGACACATTGTGAAAAGCAAGTCACAGAGACTCTCGACCTTTCTTTTTCTTTATTATTAAATTCTCTTAAGCAGCCAGATATCCATTTTTCAAATATAAGTTTCTACCAGCAGTCAAGCACAGTCTAGCCTTTTAGCACTTGAAATACATAAGGGCACCACTAAGGGTTAAAAATATATTCAAACCCAGTTCAGGTAGATCTTAATACAAGTAAATATCAGACTAATAAAAGTCAAAAATACAACAAATTCTGGCATGAAGCTAAAATCGAGTTCAAACCTGCTTGCTTGAACAGCACAATGAAGCTGAGCAAAATATTAAAAGAAAACAAGTGAAAGATAACCATGAAAAACAACTTAAATATATATTTATTTCCCACTTTGGGACTTGTCATGGATCAACTTGGCAGTGTTTGCAGGAGGCTCTACCTGAAAAACAAACAAGACACTAACGTCCTTATTTGACCTCCAAAGGTAGATTCACACAGAAAAATAGGTCTTTCCTCACTTATCTCTGCCTCGTGGGTGACACTCTCTTCTTGTTTGTTGATTCCCATCTTGGCAGTGTATTTCTAGATTTTCTGTGAGCCAAATTTAAGTATTGGACATGAGTTTTTGGTGTTATGGTGTTATTAAACTGAAGTTGTTCATATTTGGCTAACCTTCTTGTTAGAGATGGGAGACTGAAAATAAAGCAGAATTAATACATGTATGTTCTTGATGAATACTACATGTCATTACGGGACACCTGTAGTCTTGTTTGTTACTGTAACTTTACATACTGGTCTTTTGATAGAGTTTAAGTAGTAACTGGAAAGAGAAGTGTGAGAGCTTAAGAAGTTGAGGAAGAGAGTTGTAGGGAAATAAGTCAATGGAGTAACGTCTGAGTGAGAGATTGATTGTGAAGAAACGAGTGACTGAGATGTGTTAAAAAGTACAGTAGCAAGATAAACCCTGAGAAGAATGATCTTTTCAAGGGCTGGCGAGTGTAGAGTCACAGTAGAGTACAGCAATCGATGAAACTAATTTGGGGTTATTTATTGAGGCAGGAGTGAATCAGTCTGTAAGAGCCCATCAGGTGTAGATGATGTGGAAGGTGGAAAGGAGAACCTGAGGAGAGCGGAGAATGAGGAGGATAAGGTAGAGATAGAGGGGGGTTAAATGTGAACAGTAGGAAGTGCTTTCTCTAGTCCTCTCTTTGCTGCACACACTGTGATGATGAGAAGCAAAGGGAAGAAGGGACATCCATCATGTCCAGCTGAGTGTGCCTGCATGTGTGCTTGTGTTTGTTTGTGTGCGTGTGTGTGTAAAAGAAGTAGAAAACCAACCTTTCAGGCAGGCACTGAAAGTTCATGCCTGGAGATTAATAGCCCTCAGTTTTCCTGGTCTGTTCATTCTGGTTATGATACAGACCAAATTAAAAATCCTTTAGCAGTGCAGCAGATACCTTGTCCCAACAGACCGATAATGGGAAGCTTGTTTCTTTGGAGTTGCCTGGTTCGAATTGTGAACTGAAACAATGGACTTTTTTTGTCCATCTAATTTAGTTTGTGCCCTATCTGTAAAATGAGAGTCAATGGTGTATTTTTCACTCTGGGTCTGTGTGACTGCTTACTAACCCAAGTTTAGCCCAGTTGTGTAACATGACGTATTTTACAACAGGTAATAGTGCAGCACTTACTGAGGTTTGGTTGTATGCCACAACATATGTCACAGTAATTTAGTAGATTCACACAGACAAGTTCATTGTAAAATCAGACTTGAGAGGTGCATTCAATTAGTTGTTCGACAGAAAATTCATTGCAAAGTATTTTGATAATTAGTCGTTTTTGTAATATTTTAAAGCAAAAACAGCAAACTAATTCCTTGGTTCGAGCTCAGTCAAATGAGAGGTTTTCTTTTTCTTTTGTCGTATATGATAGTAAACTGGATATCTTTTGGGTAGATAGTGATCTAGAAATCAGTCAAATCAATCAGCAGATTAATCAAAAATTAATGACAATAATAATAATCATTAGTTATAGGCCTAAATCTGACTGTCTTTAAATATAAGATATGTTCTGTATTAAAACAGAATTTATTAATCTACGCATTAAAGATAAATGGGAAGATCACAAAACTTACAGTCATATCTGAAACGCCCAAAGTCAGTTATTTTAACCTGTCTTACACATTGTTTTACTTATCACATGTATGAAAATGCTTCTGACATGCGGTCACATTGCAACATACATGAGCATAAAATTAACACTCAGAGGCATTCCTTTTCTATATACAGGTGCTGGTCATATAATTAGAATATCATCAAAAAGTTCATTTATTTCAGTAATTCCATTCAAAAAGTGAAACTTGGATATTATATACATTCATTATACACAGGCTGATATATTTCAAATGTTTATTTCATTTAATTGTGATGATTAAAACTGACTAAATCTCTGAAAATTAGAATATTACTTAAGACCAATACAAAAAAAGGATTTTTAGAAATGCTGGCCAACTGAAAAGTATGAACATGAGAAGTATAAGCATGTACAGCACTCAATACTTATTTGGGGCTCCTTTTGCCAGAATTACTGCAGCAATGCGGCGTGGCATGGAGTCCATCAGTCTGTGGCACTGCTCAGGTGTTATGAGAGCCCAGGTTGCTCTGATAGTGGCCTTCAGCTCTTCTGCATTGTCTGGCGTATTGCATCTTCCTCTTCACAATACCCCGTAGATTTCCTATAGGGTTAAGGTCAGGCGAGTTTGCTGGCCAATTAAGAACATGGATACCATGGTCCTTAAACCAGTTACTGGTAGCTATGGCACTGTATGCAGGTGCCAAGTCTGTTGGAAAATGAAATCTGCATCTCCATAAAGTTGGTCAGCAGCAGGAAGCATGAAGTGCCCCAAACCATCACTGACTGTGGAAACTTTACACTGGACTTCAAGCAACGTGGATTCTGTGCCTCTCCTCTCTTCCTCCAGACTCTGGGACCTTGATTTCCAAAGGAAATGCAAAATTTACTTTCATCAGAGAACAAAACTTTGGACCACTCAGCAGCAGTCCAGTCCTTTTTGTCTTTAGCCCAGGTGAGACACTTCTGACACTGTGTCTTGTTCAAGAGTGGCTTGACACAAGGAATGCGACAGCTGAAACCCATGTCTTGCATACGTCTGTGCGTGGTGGTTCTTGAAGCACTGACTCCAGCTGCAGTCCACTCTTTGAAATCTCCCCCACATTTTTGAATGGGTTTTGTTTCACAATCCTCCCCAGGGTGCGGTTATCCCTATTGCTTGTACACTTTTTTCTACCACATCTTTTCCTTCCCTTCGCCTCTCTATTAATGTGCTTGGACACAGAGCTCTGTGAACAGCCAGCCTCTTTAGCAATGACCTTTTGTGTCTTGCCCTCCTTGTGCAAGGTGTCAATGGTCGTCTTTTGGACAGCTGTCAAGTCAGCAGTCTTTCCCATGATTGTGTAGCCTACAGAACTAGACTGAGAGACCATTTAAAGGCCTTTGCAGGTGATTTGAGTTAATTAGCTGATTAGAGTATGGCACCAGGTGTCTTCAATATTGAACTTTTTCACAATATACAAATTTTCTGAGATCCTGATGTAGGGGTTTTCATTAGTTGTCAGTTATAATCATCAAAATTAAAAGGAATGAACACTTGAAATGTATCAGTCTGTGTGGAATGAATGTATACATTATACAAGTTTCACTTTTTGAATGGAATTACTGAAATAAATCAACTTTTTGATGATATTCTAATTATGCAAATGTAAATGCTCCGTACTTGTATAGCGCCTTTCTAGTCTTTTCGACCACTCAAAGCGCTTTTACACTACATCTGCATTCACACACACATTCATACACTGAGCCTAAGTGCTCAAACGGAAACTAACATTCACACTTACTCATACACTGGCGGAATAGCAATTCGGGGTTCAGTATCTTGCCCAAGGACACTTCGACGGATTGAACCGCCGACCTTCCGATTAACGGCCAACCCGCTCTACCTCCTGAGCCACAGCCGCCCCCATATGTCATGGTCATTATATGACCAGCACCTGTATACATACACATACAATAGCTCTTTTGAGCATGTGAGAGATATGAGGTTTCACAATTGTGTGAGTGAGACATAACAAATGTTTGTCTTTCCACTTGAGCATATCATCTGCAAACTTAAGTTTCATATTGATGTACTTATGTTTCTTAACACTGCATAAGAAAGGCACGAAAGTCTGACACACCACCACCAAACAAACACATGAAAAGACACAGACATACAAACTTTTGCAGTCAGTGTCCACCCCCTGCCTAGATTCCAAGCCCTAAGGAAATGTATATCGCAGAGGCATGCAGAGAGTAATGTTTTCTCTTCCTCTTGCTTTAGTATCATTGCATTACATTTTATCCCCTCTTTGTTTGACTAGAGGGGATAGAGAAGATGAGATGAGTTTGGGAAGAAGAAGCAGAGGGGGGGGTGTTGATTGATTGAAAAAGACAGTGGAAACAAACCCAGTCAGGAGGAAAGTAAATAATGGTGCTTAAGCACGTAATCGTGCTTTTGCCATGAACTCAACATTGTAGGAGGATTTAAACAGGTTTCAGAGGTCCTGCACACCCACACAGGTATTTTAATTTAATCTATATGATTAGACCTTTGCTCAGGTTGAAGGTGGCCAGAGCTACGCTGGCAATTACATGAACTCATGTAATTCGTACAATGTACGATTGTACGTCCCTTACAGGTTCAACAAGATTGAAGTGGCGGTCACACCACAAAGTGACATGTGCTTGTATAAATAGGTGGGCCCCTAAGTTTGGTGATGTAGTGATGGTTAACAATGTGTTCACTCTGTTTATTTAAAAGATGTTCCTGTACCATCTACTCCTGTCTCATAACTGTCTGCAAATCATTGCTATTTTGTGGAATAGCTTTTCCTCTGACCGAGGGGGTCAAATAAAATCCCCTTTAATTAATTGATTTCAAAATTTCACCATTTCAAATACTGGACCTCCGTCATCCATGCTTTTATTTTTTAAGTATGGTCATATCTGCCTTCAGTGTAAAGAAGTTGCCTAGCACCCAGAAACAAAAAAGGACACAATGTCTGACAAAAGTCTGACTGAGATTTAAAATTAAAAAAAAGAAACATTGAGCATGAGTGATCATAGACTGTAAACAGTGTCAAAGTCAGCCATAACTGGTTGGTGATCTCACCAATACAGAAAGCACATTCTTGGATTTATCAGTCCCGCAGTGATCAGTTAGTTAGAGTTTTAACAGAATAGCAGGGAAAATGTCAGTCAAGCCCTGTCTGTCCACACCCACACCCACACTCCAGATAGTGGGTGTACCAGGCTTTAATACTCTTCTGCAGCTTAGTGGAGATTAACACAAAATTTCTCTTTATATTGTTTGATTCCTACACAGGTTTAACAACAAGTCTAAATTAGTTTTTTCATAACTTGGGTTGATACAACAAAGACTACAAATAAAATCCCAAAATATCAAAGACTTCAAAAGTTGAGTGGGTTGGCTTTGTTTGAACTTTTATTTGTGGTATCTAGCATGACATGCAGTAGGCACCAAAAGCTCATCAGGCAGATGTGTCAGTCAAAAAGAAGGTTCTTCTGGGACAAAATCATCATGTGTCTACATGAACATAAAATCATCAAGCGCTGTTCTCCCCTTGACTGTTTAAAGGCTCCATATCCATTTAGATGTATCCCATCCCCTTGACAACCCTGGCTGAAGTGATGCAATGCCATGTATTCTAGCCTATCATTTGACACAGTCATTTAATTTATTCATATTGATTCTACAATAAAGAGCATTGGCCTGCTTTGGTCTGCGTTGCTGTTTGAAGCTTTCAAGGTGAGAAAAAAGTGGCAGATTGTTTGACAGTGGAGAAATTCAAAGAGAAAACCAGATGTGGAGACTGACACAGACAGTGAAAGACATCCACAGAGACAGAAAGGCAAAGGGAGAGGTAGAATTCTAGATTTGAGTATTGTTTTATCAACATGGCTGATATTTGTCTTTCATTGTTTCAGCACTACTGTTATATGAGTAAAGGTTTTATGAATCTGAGTGACGGGGAGAGGGAGCGATAGAGAGCTCAGTAAAAGATGGAGGAGGACAAGGTGAGATTAAGTCCTACGATAACTCAGCTCAAATAGAAAGCATGGATTACAGCTGTGACTGAACCACGCACAGACATACACAAATATATAGTTATATACACACACCCTCTGCCCTTTAAAAAGACGATACAACCGTAAACATAACCTCAGCCTAATGAAAAAAATGCTTTTAGGAACCATCATAACTGTTGCGTCTCTCACTGTCATCTCTTGAAGTGTCTTGTTTTTTTAAACATCCTATGATCTCAACGTCTCTGTGTGTTCTCTAGCTATAATATTTTGCGTTTTTCTTAATTGATATGTGGCTAGAGCAGTCTGTGGTTGCCATGGAAACCAAGTACCATAAGCACTTGTGCAGCATATCCTGTTATCCTGTGGTATCACCAAAGGGAATTGTGAGGAGTTATTATAGAGAGGAAGAGCAATCAAGAAAGAAGCTGAGAGAGTTATCTCACAGGTCAGGGCTTGCAGTATTTATTTATTATTAATTTATTTTACAACACTTTACACAAGGGACTTTTATGATAGGAAGAAACAGAAAAGTGTTCTGTTAGAGGTATTAGGCCAGTCTTCACCATGGATATCATGTTTTCAAGTCTTGTTGTGGCTGTTTTGCCAGATTATTGCATTAGCTCCAGCAGGTCCTGCTACATATGTCCTCCAAAGAAGACCCATATGAGTGTTTTGTGATACCACCTCCATGACAACAACGGCAAGAGCCAGTCATGCTGTTTTTAATGCCTGCAGAAACAGAAGCACAGAGTTGTTTACTACTTAACTCCACAAGAGGAGTAGGGATCGTTTTTTGGCATAGTTGCTGCACAGGATATTGCAGGCTCTGTCTTTATCACGTGACGCATGTCGGCCCAAAAAGCACTTTTCCCATAGACAATCATTGGAGAAGGAGCAGCAGTAAAGCTGTCAATTCATTATTCTGAGCATCACAATCCCTCTGAAATTAGTCTTTATATCATCCTAATTTGGTCCAGTGCCAGCTGGAAAGTCTGGAAGAGCTGAGTGATTTAATGCTACAAATACATTATATGTTGGGCCAAAAGTCTCACTACTTTCTTGCTACTACTTGCTTTGGCACTGAGCATAAACTCGAGTTGCTTTAAGCTTTTACAACAATTTACACTGGCTGAGGACAGCCTCTTTGCAGAGTAAAAAATATGTTGTTGTGGTAAACACTTGTTTTTGTTTATCCATTGTGCACTGAGGAGGCAAGATATTTTGACGCCAGTGTAAACCATCTCCAAAAGCTGCCAAACATCTTCTGTCTCATTAAATTTGTTCAAAAGAAATAATAATGATGACTAAAAATGCAAATATCACCTCCACTTTTTTAAGTAGTTGAAATGCCATAGCAGTTTTTTAAAGCTGTGAGAAGTTTGTTTTCATCAAGACAACCTTTATCACTTCACTATCTTTAATTACTAATTATATAGACATTTCTCATGCAAGGAGTGGTACTACATTTTGACAAAGAATATTGCCAAAGTATTATTTGCTCAGCATTGATTGTCAGAATTGAGTGTTGGATGCTCAAAGTGCCAGAGGATACATTTAAAACAGCACACTCCCCATTACAATATAACTTATCGGGTCTGTTTAAACCTCTTCTAAATTAAAATGCAGTGCGTTTAACCTTACTTCAATAAATTATGGTTTAGCCTTCAAACCTGTCATTTCTCATAGGCCTTCAATTAAAAATTTAAATTAAAGTTACCCCAGGCAAAAAGCATCTTCTTGAAATTAGTCTTTCCTGCCAAATAAATTGTAAATCCTAAAAATAATCAAATTCTCTCACTGAAGAAATTGATGAGTAGAGATCTGGACTTCTGGTAACGTGGGGCAATTAGTGTTTTCACCCAGGCAGTAATAAGATCTGAAACAAACAAACGTGGTAGCTTTAAGTGCATGAGAGTTTAATCAACAGACATTGTTAGGATGATCATATATACCTTGGTTGCTGTTTACCATACTTACTAATTAAATTACATTTATTCTAAATGACTGAATTGCATTTAGATATTAAACGTTCACTTTGGATATGACATGGTAGCATACAACATTTGTTTTTTTTAAACTATTGTTTATTCTTTAACATTTATTAAAGAGGGTGAGGCATTCAGCAGCTAGAATGTATTTATGCATTTTTAACTCTCTCTATCCAGGATCGCATATATTGGACAGACCTGGAGGACGAAGCAATATATAGTGCAAACCGATTGACGGGACATGATGTGGCAAAGGTAGCAGAGCACCTCAACAACCCCCTGGATCTTGTGGTGTTTCATGAACAGAGGCAGCCCAAGGGTAAGACATTCAGGAAAAATGCTGAGTAACTTGGGAACTATGATATGACATGGGCATTTTTACTGTTTATTTTATTTCAAGCAGTATGGTAAAATACAAAGCAGCCACAAAGAGTTGATTAGGTGAGGAGCTACAGGTGAAGGGCTTGCATTGCAAATTGGGCTTCATGGGCTCTGATAACGGTTGCTTGCTCCTTGTACTATTCCCAATGGCACATAGAGTTTGGAACATCACATAATCTTTGCTCAGTGTTGGTCAGTTGGTTATAATGATTACTTGATCTAAGTGCAGACCCAAACAACAAACCATAACATAACAAAAGACATTGCACTCCCACATTACAAAACCTTGAATTATCCATGTGTAGACCACATGACTTATTAAAACTGACTGAAACAATAAACATACAACCCAATGTGTGTGCGATAAGTTTGATGTATGTGCTGTGCAATGATGTGCTGTGATGTGGTATTTTCCCGAGGTGTGTGTGTGTGTGTGTGCTTTTCTGTGTGTGTGCTTGCGCTAGTTAATGTGTCTGTTTGTGTTGTGTGTAAGCAATTTGCTTGTGTGATTCTGTGTTTTCATGCTTTGCTTTCTCCCCTCACTCAGAGCGAAGAGCAGTCTTGTCTAAGTGCCAGTAGGGAGCTAATTGTATTCTCTCATTAATAAATCAAGAGTTCTGCTCAAAGAGGTATCACAGAATTAAACTTGTTTTTTCCAAAATGCCAGCAAAAGCAAGTCATAAAATAACCACGCCTAACTTGGTTAAATTAAGACATATTTAATGAACTCTAGATGCCCCTTTCTCTCTTGCTTTTCCATATAATTTTTTTCCCTTCAGAAAATACACTAATCTAAAAAAAACAAAAGAGAAGATCATCACTTATTATTATATTGGTTGTCACAATACATCGCTGAAATATGGCCCAAAACAATTCAACATGTCTTCCTCAAAAGAGCATCTCTTACTGTCCTCTCTTTGTTGTGCTTTTTTAATTTTTATCTTTTTATTTTATGTCCATCCAGCAGTGCTTCTAAGCCTAAGTTCCATGTTTTAGTTCTTATTCTAGACCTAGGGAGATATTTCAACTTTAGAACAACATCATTTTGCAAAATTTCAACTCATTCTCTCTCATGTCTTCCACTTCCTTTTCCTCTGCTGTCTCTCCTTACATCCTTCCTTCTCATCTTTTTTTATTTATTTTCCTATTGCCTCCTGTTCTCTCCCTTTCTGTTCTTTTACTTCTTTCCTCTCCACTTCTCTCCTCCCTCGTCCGCCCTTCTGCCCTTTTCTTCCCCCATCATATAATTTAATTGTGTTGTCATAATGTGTCATGGCTTTTAAAATACTTCCTTTTACCCAAAGAGTTTAATTTATTCTTAACATGGAAAGCAGGTACTGAAGATATTTGGAGATTTGAATAATTTCATTTAGACAGATGTTCATATTACGTACTTGTTATGCTGAGATGCTCTACACCAAGGACAAATGTATTCCAGCTTACTAAAATCTCATTGTGTGTATATTGCTACTTCCCCTGATGGCAGATGATTCCCCCGATGTGCTGCTCTCTAAAACTATGCACAAGTCAGGAGGCAGGATCGACCGCAACCTGACCTAATTCTGGTGCTTCCCCACATGACAAGAGCAGCAATATTTTTTTAGTCTGAGTCTCGGGTTAGAAATCTGCATGTAAATTTTTAATTTGAGTGCAGAGATTTAAAAAAATAAAATAAAAAAGTTTAGACACCCTGTCCTAACCTAAGCATCTTTTCATTGGACTAGAAAACACAATAAGGTTAATAGGTAATAAGCAGTAAAAAAATTTTTGGCTGATCATCTACAACTCTGATCCTGGGCTAAAAATGTTCAAAACCCTGTGCTCTGCCTTGATGTTTCTAGATTTAGGGTCCAGTATTACCACTACAGGCATACTACAGTAATGATGTACAGTCTAAATTGATCATTTTCAAAAGTCTTGAAATGTGACAAATGTAATGTAAAAAAGCGTTTTGCTCTTGAATTCACGTTCACATCGCTTTTGTACAGGGGCTTAGTTTTTTTGCTTTTTGGATTTCTTTTCAAAAAATAGTCAATAGTAAGACCAACCTGAAGTTAATTCACAATTAATTTGATGCTGACTGAGACACAGAACTGGGTCTCTGTCTTCAATTCGTAAAAGCCTTTTCCTGTTAAATATTCTTGTCTACAGTACATGTAAACCTTTTTGGCATTGACATGAGATTTCAATTTACCAAACATTTGGAAAAAGCACCAAATATTTATAAATGTTGTTATTAAAAGTTTAAGTTTAATTAAGAGTTTTCAGTGGAGCTGCGAGATTTCAAAATATGTAAAGCAGAATAATATTGGATTTTATTTAATTTATGTATAAAGGAAATGTATAAATTCAAATTTATACATACCCGTTTTAATCAATTTCTTCATGTTTCCCCCAAGCCCCAGACACCTGTAACACGGGCAGTCTGCCTAATGGCGGCTGTGAATACCTCTGTCTGAAGGCCCCCCAGATCACAGACCACTCTCCCAAGTACACCTGTGCCTGCCCTGATGGCATGGAGCTGGGACCAGACATGAGACGCTGTGCTATAGGTAAGTCGGTCACACTCTGAACTAATAAATCAGAGTCCAGGCGCACACTTAATTAAAGAGAGATTGTGCCAAGGAACGTCACATGAAGTCTACATCGCTGTAATCATAATGACATGATGGAGTACAAGGCCATAAAGATAATAAATTGGTTTAACTCTCTCAACTCTTCTAAAAAGAGTCCATCTCATAATTAACTATTTAGACATATCTTAAAAAATGTTCATTATATTGGTAACATATGCAGGCATGGCTATGGGAAACATTCCCCTTACCATTATAGGTTGAAGGAAATACTAAAAGGTTATTTTTCGGTCAAGTAGAATAACTTGAATCTTGTCATGTCAAGTTTGATTTAGGTTCTTCTCTCAGCACAGCTAGATGTGTGTAAATGTAACATTTGAGAAGATTCACTAAATCTATTTAGAATTGTCAGTAAAATATATACAGTAAATGCTAAATATATTAAATACAATATATAAAATACATAAACAATATTAATATGACAATTATATTATTGCTAGTGGGGAATTTGTCCACTCTTACTCTTAAATAAAGGATTTATATTCATACCCATTAATATTTGTCTTAAATCGTAACAAAATACTCTATTGACTATTACAAATTTTATCCAAATCCACTGTTTACCAGTATCAGCATTCACTAATGCAAAATGTTCAAGTATTATTATTTTAATCACGACTTATTCAAAAGCCAACTCTTTCAGAAAATTCGACACCTGTGCTTACTGTACACTGTCTTGGGAAGTGGGTCATGGATTCTCCCAGCTTACCCGTGTTCCCAGCACACCTCCATTATTTCACTGACCTTATTTCACCACTCAGCCAGTCCCCAGCCTCTGCAGTCACCACTAACAAACGTCCCAATTGTTATGTTGTTATCCTTAATAAACCCAGTCTGTTTAGCAATTCATGTTTGCACAAGTGAGGAGTAAGGAGCTGACACAGAGAAAAGGGAGAAAGAAAGATGATGTATGTAGACTACCATTCAGAGAATCGACTGGACAGGGAACAACAGTTATTTCTGATAGCTCCCACCCCCTTCATTTGGAGTTTCAGATCTTACCTTCTGGTTCTCGGTTCAGATTACCCCCAGTAAAGAGCAATAGATACAGGCACTCATTCGTTCCGACTGCCATCTCTTTTCTAAACTCAGTCCGGAGAAGTAGATAGACTAATAATTAAATAGTGATGGGGTTGTTATAACATGTATAGTACTGACGTTGATGATGTTGTTGAAGTGATGGTGATTGTTATGGAAATGTTCCCCTGTGTTGCAGTCTATTATTGCTATATTGTTTTTATGATGAACATTGTCAGATGTTTCTTTTTAAAATATGGCTGTCGAATTGGAGGCCTATTTATTTATTTTATTTATTTTCAGAAATGGACTTAGGCACTTAGGCCTATCTATCTATCTTCTCAATTCTCTGTTGTACAACCAGAGCCTTTAACATTTAGTATTTATGTATTTCGGTCTTGCATCTGTGTCTGTCCTATGTCTTGCTGCAGAACCAATTGCCCTACGGGGACAAATAAAGTTTAAGTTTAAAGGCCATTGAGCGTGCAGAGAGGGAGAGAGATGGAACATTTGCACTCAAAATTTTTGGACTTCCTAATGCAGTACAATTATTTTTTGCTGAGCACTTATTAATGTTGATAAAACAGCCCCTTACCCTGTGTTCCTCTTGCTCTCTGCTTAATGTCTCTGTCTATTTTGGAGCAAGGCCTTGTCAGTTTTGCAGCGACCAAAACAAAACATCTTGTGTTACGGCTGCCGCCGTTTTTATGTGTAAAAGAAATGTATTTGAATTTTTTTTAATACTCTCATTTGGTTGTCCGTTAACAAAAACAGAACCTGTCCATAAGTGTTAATATGCTATATTGAGACACAAATAAGTGACCAGAGAGAGATGGAAGTGATAAAAAGATGCCAGTTAGCATGAGCTAGCCGCCATATAGACATTATATCTGTTATTATTATATTGCTTCTCCAACAGAATCACGGCATAGAATAGTGTTCTGAATGTCTGTATGATTCTTAGATTAACTAAGATCAAGAGTTTGGTCTATGTAATGCGTAACAGCGGAATGCATTTGAGTGCTTTGAACATCAGTTTAATTACCTTAAAGTAAAAATGATTTTGCATTATTTTTACCTTTATCACCGAGCTCTATTTAAAAGTCTGGGGAGTTGGGAGCATTTTATAATCTTTTCATTTCCCAGTACGTGCTGTATATTGATGCACTCAGCCAAAATGTGACAAATCTTGTTGTTGACATACTTCCCAGCTGTTAGCATCTTTAAGTAAAATCCTAAGTGCTAATAACTATCCTCATTGACTGTTTCTCTTGTGCAGTTCGACCCAGAACAACCACAACAACTGCTGCTCCAACCACCCCCACCACCACCACCACACCCACTACAACAAGCACTACAACAACTAGCACAACTATTAGCCCCAGCACAACTACCCCTACCACCACGACCATAAGCACTACTGCTGTTACAACACTCAGGCCCACAACCAGACGCCTGACGACACCGGCTCCTCCCCAGACCCCCAGGAGCACCTCTACAGAGCAGCCTCGGACCCCCGCTGCCACAAGTACAGAAACGACTAGTTTCAGCAGCACAAGTCAGACGTCCACTTACACACACACGCCCCTATTGGGCCCAGTGGCCCCCAACAGCATTCAGAGAGAGAGCAACGCCAACCTCTCCCACAGAGGTAAGGATCATGGTGAGCAGGGTGCGCATTTGTGCATAGGAATGTAAGTTTGTGTGAAGTGAGTGTATGTATATTGTGTGTGTTCTTCTGTAAGTGTAGTGCTCCACTTCCATCACTACCGCTACCACCTGCCATTAAAGCAGAAGGGAGTTGAAAACCACTACTTACATCAGTTTCCCTCTGCTCTCTGGCTTCTCCTCTCCTGCGTCTCTTTGTTTGACCATCTGTCTATCTACTGTATTCTTCTGTCCTCTTTCTCTTTCTCCTATTCTGTCTTTCATGCACGCTCACTCCAACAGAGCTGTAAGAACTAACAAACGACAGTCCCCTCCATCCTCACCTGCCACCTCTCATCATTAGTCTTCCTCACTTTCTGACAGCCTCTGTCACTCTATTTGTCTTTCTCTCTCATCCCCTCTTTCACTCTTGCTCTTTAAAACTGGCAGCATTCTCTGTTCTCGTACCAATCAAGTTCAACTGGCAAAGAAAAAAATACTGCTTCGCAGTTTGTTGCCCAGACAAACAATGACAGCAGAATATAACAGCAGTAACAATGATTAACAAAGCCATGCTAAACTTAAATTGTATTTGGAAGCAGAGAATAATCCTTGATAGCACTGCAAAGCAAAATTTATAAACCATGCTACGGTGTGATTTTTGTTGCAAAAATCAGTGTTTTCTACTTTGAATTTTTGTGGTCTTTGCTACATACTGTAGAGACATTAACATGACATAGTGGTAACTGTCAAACTGCAATTATCCTCAAGTAATTTGTTCCTTATAACAGTAGAACATCATCTAAATAAGTTGTTTTTTTAATTACAGACTTATTGGATGATATTTGGTGTTGTGGATGTGTGCATTTGTTTATACTTTCAACTAGCTCCAATGCTACTGCATCACCCTTTTTAGACCAAAGCAGAAGACAAACAGTAAAACAATGTGAGAGACAATAAAGAGGCTATTGAGGGTAAAGAATGAACAGAGCACAAAAAGGAACATGACAGTCCAGCAATTGAACAGGGAGGATGGTAGTTATAAAAAAGGACACACTGCTGGGAAGGAAAACAGCATTTACGAGGATAAGATGGGCTGCAAAAGAGGCGAAGAAGAAAAAGTGATTTTCTGGGAATAAAACAGAATGGCTGCTACAACTAGTCTCATCACTTTGGGGGCCTGGGTTTTTTAGTTACTAAGAAGCAAGAACATGTTTCCTCTAGTCTCTGAAGTTGTCAGCCTCCTCACCACAACACAAGTGCTCCAGATGAGAGGTGGAGCAGACACGGATGAGAAAATGGGGCATGAACAAGACGCGTCTCCAAACCCACAGGCCATGTGTTATAATTTTCAACTCAGCGCACACTGTCAAGTTTACCGGCATCAGCTGCTACACATGTGCAGCGCTGTGGCTGACATAATGGAGCGAGGAAGAACCAGGAGTTTCAGGAATAACATATAAACACACAGCTGGTACACAAAGCTTATATGCATTTAAGCTCAAATTTGAACCTCCACTCTTGATGTAATTAGTCATCAATATTTCAATGACTAAACCTAGCTGTCTTGCTGTTAAAAGAATAGGTTAAAATTTTTCAAGTCAGTCTTAAAACAATAGTCAGGTGCCCATATGAACATTAAAACAGGTTTAGCTTGCTGTAATTATTCCTCCTGTTCATACTGGCCCTGAAAAGATCCCATCTTAATACACTTTAAATAAAGAATGGTGGCGAAATCCAGAGTTTTTATTCTGTGCAAAAATACTTTCCAAACTTTATCTGAAGTCCTTATGAGGCTTCGACAGTCTGAATTAGACAAATCAAGTGAGTATAGTTTGTTGTTACCAAATTCCCTGTTTGTATTCAAATCCATCCACTGCAGCTCAGCATGAAAACACTGTCTGTAGAAGCAAAAAGAGATGATTCTGTTGGGAAGACTGTAATTTAATTTGATAAACTCTGCTCACACCCCATATTAGCTTCACATAAACTTTGGAGCCATTTTTACACAAAACAAGGACTGTGGATTTTGTCCCCTATTGCTTACATTTTAAGTATGTGGATCTTTTAATGGGCAGTTTAACTAGAGAAATGAGCAAGCAAACATCATTTCAATGCATGGACATGTGAATATTGTGAAGAAGAAGTAAAGAAATCCATACTCTTTGGAGGCCACCATAAGGCTATTAATTTTTGAGGGCATTTGAAATTAAATAAAGTTGTAAGACATTCATGACCATTCAAATCTTCCATCAAGGTATGGCTAACAGTTAATAGCAGCAGATAATATTAGAAGTCCTACATGTTGACTTTAAAACTATTTACTGTATATACTATAGGTAACCTACACATTATGATAGGGTTATATTTAAAGGTTAAATATAGGGATATAAATAGGCAGGTTTTCATGGAGGCAGACAACAGCAGATTCTTTTTTAACTTTAAATCCCTCTAGCAATAATTTTGCCTTTTTTTCTTCCTTTCTCTTTCTCATTGTCGTCACTTTCCAGGACTGCTTCTTTCATAACTGCTGCTTAAATAAGATTCTATTAATCCGCTTTTTAGAGACTCGCTCATACTGAAGAAAAGCCAAATTCACTTCTGCTGACTCAGGACTCAGACGCTTCAGTGCTCACTCTGAAGTCTTCACCTGCTGTGCCTCTATTACAGCAAGTCTTTGTCTGAATATGTGTGTGTGCGTGCATTTATCGAAAGGCAGCTCATCCTCTATATGACTACATTTCTGAGAGAAGATATGTCTTAATTGTATGTCCTACCCGCCACCTCCCATCTGTGCCTTTTCCTGCATACAATTACAGTCTATTTCTAGAATGAGCCAATCAGTATGCAGGGCCAACGCTGTGATCTGTTCTGTTAATCTTCCTCACTAGACTTCATTATAGCCATCTGATCACACTTTGGTTAATGGCTAGTCTGCTGCTAATAGGAGGATTGGGAGCACGATTAATGTCAAGCTCCACACCGACCTGTTGGGGTGAGAGTTGAAGGGGAGCAAGGATACCAATACAAATGTCTAGAATAAATGTACACTGTATTGCAAAAGAATGACTTGCAACACAAGGTCATGCATTTAATTTCACTTTCAAGGGCACCTGGAGTATCCACCATGTTTCACACCTCTATTGAAATATGCATTGCTTCCTAAATCAAAATTAGTTTTTGTACAAATTCTGATGTATTATTTCCTGGAATTGCATTTGTCTTCTCTTGTATTAAAACGCATCTCATTGCATTTATATGGTACCTTGATATGATTCATCCACATTTCACTTACACATTCTGTTAAAAAAAAAAAAGTGAAAGTGAAATCAGATGGATTCTCCGCCCATATATTATGCAAATGTGTTTTTCCAGCATGATGCTTCAAACTTGTGTTTCTCTCTAGCAAGCCCTTCGGGGACGGTGTTATGGAACAAAACTTTTTGCTTACTTTTTATTATTCTTTCTCTATTCTCTCTCTCTCTCTCTCTCTCTCTCTCTGTTTATCTTAGCTGGGAGTGATCACTACCTCATAGGTAACAACATCACAGTAGCTGTTCTAGGGATAGTCATTCCTATCGGTGAGTACTCTTGATTTTCTCGCTGTGTTACCTTTGCTTTCTGCCCGCCTGCTTCTCCCTCCTTGCTTGTCCATCTCTGCTTGTTGCTTAAGTCCTGCATGTTGTGTGTGGATATGGTATTGTATGCGTTCGTCTGCATATGTGTGTACTTGCGTGTGTGTGTGTGAGAGACTGGGTTTTTAGTGTCTGTACACCTGACTGATTAAAATGAGTATATTTGAACATACCAGCCCTACGTCAGGCTCAGCAGTAATGTTTTTGTACGAAATAATAGTTTAGTAATTGAGAAAATGTACTGAGCTGTGGTATTATCCATCAATAGCCTCCTGGCCTACGGCTAGAAAAAGCCATTATGGGCCAGTAAGCTTGTCAGTCAGTGATGGCCAAGCCTTTGCAATGTGCACATTATGTCATTATTAATGAGATTTGAGCAAATGGGAAATTCAGTTCATGTTTTGTCATCACATTTGACCAGCTGTTATAACATTAAGCTGATGTTCATGCAGTATTGCTCACACTGCAATCAATCCAATGCTCTGACCTATTTCTCTGACCCAGTGGACCAAGAGTGGGTTACACAGCTGCTGGAATCCGATTTTGATAGGAGGAAATATCAATGGACTGAAACGGGGCTTAATGAGATAAAACTGTGTTTTGGGCAGTGGGGCAGTGGACATTTTGACCTGGGAAATAACATTATTGTCCGTACAGGGTAAAAAAAAAAAAACACTATTAGGCCATACTTCCATACAATAAATATAATATTAGGTAGGCATCCAAAGAGAACGCAAGTTATTACAATCAAACCAGCTTAGTAAAGTTAATCTATTCTATTAGCTTTGATTAAAAGGGAAATCAAATTTTATGGAAATATTTAATGCTTTCATGCATAACCTAACTGGGAAATCAGCTGAATGTGCAAATGACCTTATAGTAGCAGCATATGTCGCTAATTGAGATCTCTTTCATCCCTAATATTGAATACTGTGATAAATTATGGGAGCTCAAAAGCGTCATAAAGCAATTTTTTTCACTTTTCATTATCAACAATTGAGATATCAGCTCATTAAAACAACCCCTGAGACTGTTAACCCTTTCAACTCCATCTTTCATTTTGTCCTTCTGCCATTCATTGGAGTCATAAATCCCCCCGTTCTGCATTTTTTGGATAGCTTTGAAACATTAATTATTGTTGGAGGTCCACAAGGGCCAGATTTCTGCACCCTAGTTCTCCGCTCACATCCACTAATGCGCTATGCCCATCCACGGCACCACAAGGGGAAACAGCCAAACAATCATTATCAGTATTTAGCCAAAGTCAGGCTGTTATGCCGCTCTCTAATTGGAGTGAAATTTTCTAAACGAGACAAAAGCTGATGTTTTTTAAACCAGTGAGCATTTGGAGAAGAACAAAGCAGTATCTGGGGTTTCCAGTCCTGTCACACAGGGACCTCAAGTGCCTATCCAACAAAAGAGCAATTAGATTGGGCTTCCACAAGGGATGCAGACGCATCTATGGACATGGGCATACACTCACAAAAACACACCCCACACACACACACACTTTACCTCATGGACACACCTCTTGTTTGGGTGTATGGTCCTCTACACACATAACTCATACATGCACTATACACACACAGGTCCTACAGGGCAGCTAGGCAGCCATGCTAATATGGTAATGAGAGGAGAGAGACAGGGCTTATCTCAAATCCTCCAAGGTACTTTCTCTCTGTCCTTCCCTCTTCTTCTTCCCCTGTCCATTCTGCTCTCTTAACCCCATCCAAAAACACCAGAGTCAGGCAGTCTGCAGATAGTGTTGAATAGTGTGCAAAATTATAAATTATAGCCCAAATGTAGCAAAAGGATAAGCAACCTTGCTGGGCTTTTTTTTTAACAAAACCCTAATCATTGGCTTCAGGACCTGAATGTTGCAAGATTTAATAGAGAAGTATGTGTGGTTCAGTCTTTGTTTATTCATGTATTTGTGTGTGTGTGTGTGTGTGTGTGTGTGTGTGTGTGTGTGTGTGTGTGTGTGTGTGTGTGTGTGTGGGTGGGTGGGTGGGTGGGTCTTGGATTTACTGTATGTGTGTGATGGTGCATGCAGGCATTCATTGTTGCAAATTGTGAATGTGCATTCATGTTTGTTTTTGTGTAGATGGAGACTGAGAAGGAATGTAATAGTGTGTGTGTGTGTGTGTGTGTGTGTGTGTATGTATATATATGTATATATATATATATATACCTCTGTATGTTTGTATGAAGGCTCAATGTTTTCAGGTTTTAAATTTTATTTATTTTATATAAATATATGTACTGATATACAGGGTTTCCCCCTAGTTTTGTGGTATTATTTTGCATTAGATGAATGCCTAAACAGCCACACATATTAAACATATGACTTTTGCTGTGTTTTAATATTAGCAGAGGTTGTCTTTGTTTCACCACCCTCAATTTAAAACACTTTTTTACAAGGATGTTTTGTCCTCATGCATCCAGAAATGTCATGCTTTACTCTACTATGCCGTTTAGCTACAGTAAATAAAGTCCTATGGTGGCAAGCACAGTTGAGCATTTATTTGCATATTGGATTGTGAAGAGAACATGGATGTAATATTTGAACTGGATACCGGACCCAAAGATGCCTATTCAGTCCAATGAGAATTGCTCGCCTGGCGCATAGGCCTGCGAGTTTCATAAAAAAAATCAAAAAGAAAGAGTCATAATTGACCTTGTTTGCAGTTTGAGGTGTCCTTTCAACAGTTTTACAGACGTCTCTTTTATAATGGTGGGCCCAGGGGGATTTGTTGCTGCAATACTGTGAGTGGCCACGGGTAAAATTGAGACGCCTATCCAGGTAAAAAGACTGAGCGGTCTATCCAGGTCTCATTATACATCCATGAAGGAGAACCACAAACAAGCTGTTTAAGTACTTTATGGGGATTAATGTTATTACAAACAAAAACTCCTACAAACCTCCCCTACAGGTATACATTAGATTATGTATGATTTTGAAAACGAAAATAAGAAAATAATGAGCCCTCAGTACATGAAGGAAGGTGTGCGAGGTGAGTTTGTGTGTATGAGTGCTTAAAGCGCCGCTCTGTGTCCCCTGGGCTGTGTTAACGCTCCCGCCGTGTGTTGTTGTTGTGTGTGTGTTAAACACATGCAGTCCCTATCCTTGCCACAGTGGTCATTGGATTACTCTGCACCGGCGGATACCTGGTTTGGCGCAACTGGCGGCGCAAGAACACCAAGAGCATGAACTTCGACAACCCTGTTTACCGCAAAACTACGGAGGATGACGATGACGAAATCCACATTGGGCGACACAGCGAGTCCATCGGTCACGTGTACCCAGCAGTGAGTGGCAGCCACAGTCAGCCATTCATAGCGCTTCCTCTAGGGGGCGGCGTCACAGACAGCAACTCTCACTGGTATTCAGGGGCACCGATGCTAACCAGCGGCAAATGAGAGAAGCTGCAGAGGAAAGGAAGGAGTTTTGAATATTTGAGATATAGTAATATACGCAGGGGTTTGGAAAAGGCTGTTTGTTGTACATGTAGGCCTGGTGGAAAGAGAGAACAGGCTTGCACACGCCCACATTCTCACGTCAATTTTCCAGTAATCACTGAAAGCACCAATCATACAGACACATAAGCCCTTCACCGGTAGATCATGTTCACATTTATTTCACCTTCATGACCATATTCATACAGTACATTTATCAACATCATGTCCTCGTTACCAGCCTACCATCCCATTTATTTGTACATTGTGTTTTTTTTTGTGTTTTTCTGGTTGTTGTGTTTGTCCTCTTAATGGAAAACACGTTTCTTATGAGACCATTTCCTGACAAAACATCTTACACAGACACTTTGTTTACAGAAGCAGCTGATACGAAAGTTAAAATTATTTTAACATGATCACTAGACAAGAGAAAATATGTGCCACAAGGTAGCATTCACGTCAAAGAGGAATTTTGTGGACATTTCTTTGTTTGCTGCTAAAAATTATAACAAAGGGTCATCCAGACATTTGAGTGCCACTGAGGCTTAAATAATTACTGCTGTCGTGATGCAGTAAATATGAAAGATAGATGCATGATGTGGGTCCTCTGAAATGGCCTCTGTTAGTAGAACAAAAATAATTCTAGTGCGGAGACAGCTTTTCGGGAAAAAAGAGGACCAGCTTTATAGTCACCTCAGCACTCTGACTCTGACTCTGAAAGGACAGCAGAGCACAGGACTAGGACCATTGTGCAAATAAATTAGATTTTGAGGGGATAGTAACATGACATTGCCCTTGTGTGGACTTTATGTTTTCGTTACAGTGTAAATAAGACATGAAGGATAAAATGGGGAGCACAAATCAAAACCAAGGACAATCGAAAATAGAATTTCTCATTCTATCTTGATGCAGATGCATTTTTGAGAATCACTTTTTGGGCAAGAAGCTACATTTTCTACAAACTCCTTAAACACTGCAAGCTGCGATTGGCACTGAGATGCACTTAAATGTATAGGTAGTGTGTCATCACGACACTTGTACATTTATTGTATATATTTGTTGTTTAAGGAATTCGGAAAGCCAGCAGGGAACGTCAGCCAAAAAGGATTATGGGGGAGTGGGAGTCTAGCGCTTTGATTGGTTGGCATGGTAACACAGATTTCTTTGTGTCGCTCTAGAGGGAAAGGAGGGAAAGAATTCTGGGTATCATTGGCATGATGACAGGCTGGAGATACACACACACACACACACACACAAAACAGGTGCACGACTGGGTCATATTAAGATTCAAGGTCGAATTAACAACCACCCTCAGAGAAGGGTTGAAGAGAGGGAACTATGCTCCTTCTCTTGTCTCCCAGTTTTATTATTTACATCTGTACAAATATTCTTTTTGTCTTGAATTTTTTCACTTGTTTTCTTCCTCTCCTGTCCTCTTCTTTTCTCTCCTTTCCTTTCGTGGTAATGTGGCAACTCAGACAGACAGAGAAATCAGATTGGCATTATTTGGGCCAGACATTTGCAGCCGTAGGCAAGCATCCTGCATTCCTCACATAGGAGCAACCAGAGAAGGAGGGAATGAACTGGGGGGATTGGAAAGAGGAGAACATGAAGGTCAGGGAGAGGAGAGAGAAGTGAGGAGTATAAGAAGAAAAGAAGTGGCAGGAGAATGGATTCTGTATGATTCGCAGTTGCTTTTCAAGGTGCCATCTAGACTTGAATCTCTGATTCTCTCTGATTTTTTCCTGATTTCTTTCTTTGTTCCCTGTCCACCATGCTGATTTTTCTTTTTCTGTTTTCTATCTCATTTCACTTTCTCTCTCTCTCTTTCTTCCTCCTTTACCAGCCTACTGTGGTAACAGTCTTTTTATCTGCTGTTTGCAGCGCGTGGCACTCAGTCTGGAGGATGATGGCTATCCCTGAGGGGGCAATGCATCCCGCCATCCGCATCCCCCTGCCCCCCCAATACCCATTCTGGCCCCTCCTCTCACCACAGCCTCTACACCACTGAGGTCAAAACAACGCAGACAAGAAAGAGAAGGAGTCCTCATTTTGTCTCCCGTTTTAAGGAGCAGGGATGACATGTACATCTTGTATACCCCCCTTCCTCTCTTACTTTCTCCCCTGGAGTAACACTACTACCACTACTAGCCACTACTACTGCCCTTAGTGCTAGTTTATCAATAGTCTCTGCTCCACTCCTCTCTTCTCTCTGCCTCTTGTTAGCTGTAGTGGTGTGTAAAATGCTGCTTGATGATTTTGTTCAAACTAACCTCATTTGGCTTTCGGTGTACATTGTAAATAGAAGGCTGTTTGGCTACCGTACAAGGGGAAAAGGCTGGAATGCATTATTTTTAATTCCTCATTTTATGACTTTTTATTTATTTGTATGTGTTTGCTGTTGTAATTATGTATTCAGCGTGTCTGTCAGTGTACAGTACTAAAGGCAGATTTGTTCAAGTTTGCAAGGGTATTCAGTAGGAAGCAAGGACGTTTTTTTTCTTCATAGTTCCCTTTACATCTCGAGTAGACAAGACAGCTTTTTTTTTTAAAACAGATGTGAAGTGTCATTCTCTCAGACTCAGATTCACCCTATGACATATTGTATGTAGGCAGGCAAAACTAAATATAGCCAAGGGGAAAGGAGAGAGAAATAAATGACGGGGTTGTCTGTGTGTTTGGAGGTGATTTCGGTGTGAAAGAGTAAGGGAGGGTGCTTTTTTGAGGGGAATAGGAGGATTTGTGCCACGGGAGGATAGTGCCTCAAGGCAAAAAGCAGCAGGGCAGAAAAAGCAAAGGATTATGGGTAATCCTCTCTCCTGGTATCAGAGGTATGCCTAAAGTCGATAATGAACTTGGGATTGTTTGTTCATTTGCGGTGGGTGTTAGGATTTACACATGTGTACAGAGTTTTACAAAACACCTTCCTACTTGATATAAAAAAATGGTGCTTTAAAGGGGCATTATGGAGTATTCAGCGGCCACTAGCGTTGAGGTTTTAAGATTGCAAGCAGGCGTGTGCTCGTACGCATGCTCGCTTGAACTCATGAGCGAGCATAATCCAAAACACAAACCACTTTCATACAGAAATCCTGCAATAAACGCAGAAACACCTGCATGCAGGCTGTGGCTTTTCACACAGATGTGTTCCGTCTCAGAGGTAGATGAACACTGGCCGCGTACCTTTCATTCAGCGGAGCGAGACACCGGCATATTGGCACAGTACTCCCAAAAAAAGGCAGAGTGACAGTGGCTATAGACAGGCAGGGTGACTGCTTCACACAACATGGTGGAAACTCAGGTAAACTCCCACTGCAACGTTACAGTAATGTTTTTATCAGCTTGATGTTGAACTAATCTATGCTCGTTACATTATAATGGCACAGTGACTGCATTTAGCCAACGTGCTACATCGATATCTCGCCTGCTGCTTTCAGTAACTAACTTTACTATCTGTGTATCTGTCACCGGAGACTCAGCAATGTCAGCACAGCTAAAAGTATTGGATGATAATGAAACAGGTAGTGAGCTGGACTGAATATTATTACGAGATTGTGTTACACTTTATAACAGTTAGACCGCAGTAAGTAACTTTACTGTAATTAGTTTTAGTGGATGGCTCTTCCTCTGTGTTGTATATTATGTGAGTGATTTTGTGGAGAAGCTGTGTACCTGAGTATCGGTAAAGGACAATAAAATCTAAATTGAACATTACGAAGCAAACAGCAGCAATGTAGCGAGCTAATGTAGCGTTAGCTGGCTGCTCCTGGCTGCATTGCTATAGGCTAACGTTAGTAAACAAATCGCTCCACATTTGCTTTTTACCGTTACATCCTTTCTTGCCGGCTAAATTAACAGTGGTACACAGGATGGTAACATGGGTCGCGTTAGTTGGTGAAGTAATGTGGAAAGTGATACAACTTTGCACCGGATAACATTAGTGTTGTCGCTGTAGTACGAGAGAGGCTTGGGAGCGCAAACAGGGCTGAATCCAACCCGAAGACCTCACATTAAAAGCAGAATAATGGCTGATGCAAGCAACGGAGAAAACAGGTTTGTGCTTCATTTCTAAGTGAGTTTTGAGCCCACTGACAATAAAGCAATGAAATTTTTACATATAGCCCCTCAACCCCTGCCCAACACAGAAATTAGCACTGCTTTTGGTGTTTCAAAGCATGATAACTTCTCCATCTTTAGTCCCCTTTTTAACAATGTGGCTGTGTTTTCAAGATGAGTTGCTTTAGATAAAGAGCCCACATTTGGAAATAATAACCTTCTTCTGTCACTGACTGTTTAGTGTGATTGTTAGTGGCCCTGTTTTATATGAGTAGATGAGTAATACGCAGAGAATGACTGAGCCAAGCACTGATTTGATTTGAAAGCTGGAAATAGAAGAAACGAATAAACCAGTGTAAAGAGCTGATCTTCCATTGACTTGCCAAAAACATGCTTCCAGCCCATTGAATCAGATGGAATTCATGCCCAGTGACTATCGCAGTAATTGCTCACAATGTGTAGTAATGGTGAATTACTAGAAGCCGTCATAACAAGTTAACATGATAGCAGTTACAAGTAGTTATGGCAAATTATTTGTATTCTGTACGTCATTTTGTGTCAATAAAGGGCATTTTGAAGGCGTTAAGCACAATTATAATGCATCTAATAATATAGAGGTGCTTTACATTGTCCAAACTATACACACAACACTGGTCTTCCATTCTTAGAATAAAAATTTTTAATAATGTTGCATTTCAGCTAACATAGAAGTGCTTTTGTTTGTCACATCCTCAGTCTTTTCATAAACTTGATATATGACTGAATACCAAGCAAAATAAGTATAGAATGAAATCAGTCTTCCAATATAGGCCCAGTATATGTATTCATCTAACTATACAGACAGTGAGTGTATCAAAACAGTTGATTAATGGTAGTTATTCTTGGGTCTCACTGTTTCCTGGAAAGGTTTGCTCAGTGCTGATGCTGGGTTAACCACGTGGGAGAAAGAAAGAAACAAGACAAAGACAAAGGTAGGCAGAAATCACTGCCAAGATTTGGACTAAACGGTATGTGAACAGGTTTGTGCTTGGAAGAAGCAAAAACCTGGCTTGGACATTTATTTTGCTAGATTTCTGACACTCACTTCACTCGCCTCCCTCAAAAGGATGGCACTCTTCTCTCAGTTTATGATGCACAGCAGGGGATTTGTACAGGACAGGTAAATTATAGTCCTCTCCAGCAATTCACTCCCCTATGTCTATCTAACGAAGGAGGATTGAGCACAAGGGGGAGGCCTTCTCCCTTCATCTTAACCTTGCACAGATGAAGGAAAATAAAATGTATTACATGGTGAGGAAGACTGTGACTCAGCTCAGCATGATCCTGGACTGGTTTGTTAGTTTCCTGCAGTGTTTGGTTTTGTATCAAACAGTTTAAATTAACACAGCTGCATTTTTGTATAACTTTTGTAACTGAGGAAATTTTTTAATATTATCAGAGGGTAGAATGCCATGGGAATTGTTATGAATGCTCACAATTTCCTATTATTTAAAAAAACAACAACCTGTATCTGAGTCCTAAAGGAAAGATGAAAATGATGTAAGATGCCAAGAAAACTGCCACAGGTCAGATATCTTTGTGAATTTATTAGGAATAAATAAATACCAAACCTACTGCTGGACTGAACCCTGGGCTTAGCCAGCTCTACACTCCACGTCATTTCCTTCAGGTCCATGTTTGCTGCAGGTCTAATGGAGTTCCATACTGAGGGTTTGCAGTTAGGAGAATAAATTGCTTATTTATTGAGGTGACTTAGCGTGGCATTGGAGAAAAGTTATTATTGCTACAGTGTGAAGACAGATTGGCTAGTCCACTTCGTGCCCCCTTGAGAGAAGCTGTCTCCACTGAAGGACATTGAAAAAGTGCAGAAAGGGACTTTTGTAATAAGTAATTGAAGTCGTAGTAGAGGACATGCTTCGACAGTATGCTTTTTAGGCATTCTTGATTCATATTTTCAGCAATCATTTAGGTGCTAATCAATGACCTAATGGCAGCAAAATCATAGTTTTACTACCAGTTAGCTTCATAAACAACATGCTGCAGTTATAAGGATCAAGTTGAGCACTCTGCCTCATGTTGAAGAGGTCAAAGAATAATGAAGTATGTGTGTGTTTATGTACATATGCTCAGTAATTCAGTTATTGTAATACAGGCATGATGCTGAATAGGTACGTGTGTTTGTCACTCCAGGTCAGTTTTTTGTAAATTATTTACTTGAAGTCTTTCAGTGTTAACCCAGTAGTTGCTGCATTGTTGCACGTGCAACATGATATATTGCACAAAGTTTTTTTAACCAACCAGAAATTTACTATTTAAATGCAAAAAAATGTAGCTTATTGTGTGGCAGTCTACAATTTCAGGTGTTCCCATGTTATATTTAGGTTCTTACACTGAAGAGTTGGAGCTGGTTGCACCAACAATTTGCAAGTTCAAACTTAGCCAAGTTGTAACGTAAGTGGATATTTATACATCACTAAATTAATACGGGGTATATAAATATCTGCATTTACAGAAACTTGGCAATATTTTATATTTTAAAAGTTTAATATATCTCTTTACCCCCTATTGGACGGTGACATGGGAGTGGATTTTCACTCATGTCCCATCCTTCTCCCATAAAAATACTTCTGTATTCTCACATTTTTTTTCTATCACATCTCATCCCCATGATGAATAGTGACATTGACTCCTATCCCGTGGGAATCCCACAGGAATCCCATGACCCACACAATTCTCAAAAACAATGTCAGCCTCTACCCCCTGTAACAGTTATTTTTGGTTTTGCTTTACTGCAGTGACTTCCTATTTGCTTAGTTGATTGTGTTTGCTTACTACAGATGTTTCCTAGAAATGGATCTACACATTACTTAAATCTTTACTAGTTAAGACATTCCTCAAGTTTTAATGGTGAAACCCAATTTACTAAATGACTAGATAAACTGCAGTAGCTAAGAACTTTGGAAGGACAGTACACACAAACTTAATAATGGATTTACAAACAGCTGGTGCAACACATTCCTGGTTCTAGATCTAAACATACACTTTGGATACATATACAACTAAATATACTGCTTTTTGTTAAAAGTCAAATTTTCATAAAGCATCGGGGTATTCCTAACATTTCCTAAAGCATACTAGGCAGGTTACTATCATAATAGGTCAAACCACTCATGACATGTTTATTTTATGGGAAAGGTGTTAACATTATTAACTCATAGCAAATTCCAGCGCTGTAATAACTAATCATTCTACAGTATGCCGTAGCTATAGTGTTCCTGATTTGTGCTCCCTGATTTTAACTGTCCTGACACTTGTCCTTCCTTCCTCTCTGCGCTGTTCCAATAGTTACTTCCAGTCTTTTCTGAGCAGAGTATCTGACCCCTGCTGCTTTAACTGAATGCATCGCCTACATCTTTCCACCACTTCACATCCTCATGCACTGCATCAAAAGTAATGCCAGCTGTGGGGTCTTTCTGTGTTTGTTACACTACTGAATTCAGCACTGCTGTCTCTGTGCACTCTCATTCTCTTGCCCTCCCATCTTCATCGTAATATCTTTCCTTTGGAAAGCGCTGTCAGTCTTTGGGTAGACAGACACACACACTGGAAGAATGGCAAA